TTACCTCGTATGAATCGTTATCATATTCTACCATATTTTCCTTGGAAATTATAATTATAGTGGCAAGCACGTGGGAAATAACAAAATCCATAAGTCAAAAATCAAAAGTCATAAATCAAAAGTCATAAATCAAAAGTCATAAGAAAATAGTAAAATAAATCTATAAGTCGAAACTCAAAAGTGACCCTCCAAGGCTTCCATATGATTATGACAAATGTAGTTTTTTTATATAATTAAAAAGACATAAATTAGTTCAAGTTAAATAGTTTCATATACATATATATATAAGCTTCTATATGATTATATATTTCTATATGAGTATATTAACATTATATCAGAGGTTATCTTAATAGAGCAATAAGTATTTGAGCGTAATGAGCTATCATACTGATAATGCAACATAGTTATTTAAGATTAAGACGCCTCAGTATTTAACCTAGTATATATATCAAACATCTTTAAACCGAAACGAAATATAAGCTACATGTATGTAAAGTAGGCAATACAACTTAGATATTTTCTGTCCTTGAAGTACTTGTGTTTATTTAGATAAAACGGTTAGTTATCAAAAACAAAACAATATGGTATATAAATTTACAAGCACTTCAATTTTGGAGAAATTCATCTAAGGCCTCAACAGACGGTAGGATTTAGTTGTACAGCACTAATTAGAGATAAGATGTACAGTTTTCAAAGCTATACAACACTTGCATTCAGACGGTAATTCTACACTGTAAGAATCATCTGAGGTTTCCACTAAAAATGATCCCTTTACATTGATCCTTTACATACTTTACTCACTAAATACTTTCTTCGCCATGAGTAATGATTGAAACACCTCAATTTAAAATATATATATATATATATATATATATATATATATATATATATATTTTAATGTGAAGCCTGACCGAGACTCAAACCTGGTACCCTCGGAACACCGTAAATCAAGAAATAGTAGCCTTCACACATTAAGATTTGTCTGTACATCTTAGTTTTAATTGGTGTTGTACTTCAAAATCCTACCGTCTGTTTAGGCCTTAAGTCATATATATCCAAAACACAAGGATTTAAGATAGTTCTAAAATCGTCTCGGTGTCTTGCATCCATTCAGAAAGTTACTGAGTTCACGACTTTATTGTCTTTCAACACTACTGGTCTAGGACCATCAACCGGACACCTTTTGAACATTTCCATACATATTTCATAATTTCAAACCTAGAGACCTAAATATTTGACACAGTACAGCTAGGTTCTTCTACAAACTAGCAAACTACATGTAGTTTGACTATTTCTGATTATATTGAGGCTTCTCAAGGAGGATATCAAAATTACCTAAATTGTCTACACTATACAGTACCATTTGTCCGGACAGATATGTACATGATATGATTTAATTCATTTAATGCTTGGGTGTTTTAATTTTTATTTTTAACATGATATACAATATTTCAGCAGCAAATGCCGAAGTTTTGGATATTCTGTTTCTTACTCTGCAAATGATTGTAGCTGGTATATGAGGTCAGGTATTGCACTCTTAATGCCCAAATTTTCAGCATCAACATTCTTGAAATAGACATTAGAATATTACTGTTGACATAAATTCAATTACTTAATTATAGAAGAAACATGCATGTGTTGTTGTTAAAAAGTGACTAATAGATTGACAACCAATGAACAAAGAAGAAAAAATAAGCATTTTCGGGGCTGTCCAGGTTTGGTGGTTGTCCGGTTTTGGTGGTCTCCAACCAGTATTAAGAAAAAATGTTCGAGTCTTTCTAAGTGAAATACAATTTGAGATTACATGGAGATTTAGGTCACTTGTTGAAAATCACATTTCTTGCATGTTTTTGCATCACTTTGCTTTGTTTCAACATCAACTTTAGCAGTACATAATGCATATTTTATTGAATTTAGAGAGTCGGAATTTTTCTATAATATTGGTCCCACCAATCAATATAAGCTAAGCCCAGGCTTATACAATGTATCGGTATGTAAAAATTTGAAGCGCACTTGTAAACTCTACTTCCTTGTAAAGAACATATTTCTATATCATGATAACTAATTAATAATGATAGAAATTTAAAAAAAAAGTAAAGGACTTTGCTAGACTTTTCTTGACTGTACGCTAAATTCAACAAACTCCCGTTATTAAAATAAGAATAATTTCAATAAGAATTAAACATTTTTGCATTAGATAAACGTTCAAAGAACATATCTCTTTCCTGAATGTTAAAATCATATTAAATAATGATAGAACTATAACTACTTTGCTTGACTTTGCCAGAGACATAGAATATCTATGTCTCTGACTTTGCTGTGTTAAGTAGGACCATTCCAATGTAACGTTTAATCTATATTATGACAGACACAATAAATGCTTAGATATAAATCAAAGACCTGATATTACTGTATATAATGACGATAATTAATCCAAAATAAAGAATAACAAATGCTTAATTGATTATGCAAGAAATAAATCAAAGACCTGATATTATATTATAATGACGATAATTAATCCAAAATAAAGAATAACCTTACGACGATTACGGTCAAGGGGAGGTAAGTCATATTTCGTTTAGAAACGTGTACCGGAATTGTCATTTTTGTAGCAACCAGTTTACATGTACGTGGCAGAATTTCAGGATGCACCGGCTAAAGGCATTAATTTTTGTACCAATTTTAGTGATAGTAAGTATTGTCATTAATGAATTATAGTTTGTATGGTACCGATTAATTGTTTGCATTCGTTTTAATTCAGTTAACATGTTATTGCATTCTTAATGATACGGAAATAGCCTCTTTAAATTGTTTGCAAGTGGGTGGGGTATGACGGATGTTCACTAAGAATTTTTACAATTGTAATTTGTATGCTCATATCCATGTAAAGGACCTTATTTTCAAAATGAAACCTGGAAAATGACAGTTGATTAGGAATAATGCACAACGTGTTTCGATGCTTGGTGCTAAAAAATAATATGAAAAAGGCAAAGCCTTAAACAGGTCTAGGATTTCATGATAATTACGAACTGTCCGTAAATTCATAGATGGTCTAGAATTTTAAAGATTTTTCAATCCATAAATTAACAGATATTCAATGTGAAATTTGCTGTTTTTAGTTTTAAACTAAAATACGCAGCTTAAGACAAGTTGTTTTATTGATTGTTTATATTTACAAAGGTAATGGGTTGAGTTTCATCTTTGTATGATGATTTTGAAATTTTTGTTAAAAGTGAAAATAGAAAGTCATCGTATTGTTCTGAATCTTACCATACTGTTACATTTATTCATGTAATAAGTTACCTTATCCATTTTTACCTGCGGTTTTGAATTTTAATGCAACTTCTACTATTTTTTTAGTTCATGTCTGTAAATTTACAGATTAAAAAATCTGTAAAATTATGGATCGTCCAAAAATTTACAGACTGTCCATAAATATCATGAAATCCTAGACCTGTTAAAGCGAGCTCGATGTACTTTTAACGTGAAATAGCATGAAATAATCGCTAATTTTTATTTCAAATGCAGTAACGAGTGCGTGTGACGTCACACGTACTGTGTTAATTTATGGCTCCGCCCCTGTCGTGAAATGAATAACGAGTTTTGAAAACGTTGATAAAACTTTGTTTATTTTATTTCACTCTATAAATTTTCAAGCGAAATAAAGATTATTTAAAGTGAAATAAATGTAAAACTTAAAACATTTGCGACATTAAAATAGCGTACTTGATTTGTTTGTTTTGCACGTGCTGTTTGGCGCTACATTGTGACGTCAAGTAAACAATATTTTAAACGTCTGTACAGCGTTAACGACTGAATAAAAGATATTGGTGTTCGGATTCATTTTCTTAGTTAGACCATTTTCTTTCATTCTAGATAGTTTTCACAACAAAATTCGACAAAAAATTGTTTTTATTTATCAGATTTCAAACAAAATGGCGCCTTCGATTTTCATTTTTATACACAGCTTCCGTTATTCTGGTTCCCTGTCCAATTATGGTTCCCATAGACGTGCGCGGGTGACCAGTCTACACATCTGTTTTCAGTCAGAATTCCTCAGTTTTTATCGTTATCTTTAAATTCGAAAGGTTGCGATGTGTCCAATACAGTACTTTGGACGAAAGTTTTCTAAACCATCACTTAGCAGGTACTCGCGTTACCGTAAAGCTCGCTTTGTGAGCAGGCCCTTCGGGCCAGCTCGTCGAGCTCGCTATGAATAAGGCAAAGCCTCAAAATGAGCTGCGTCTATTTCTATTTTTTCTATTTAATGAACATGATGCTTATCATTAAATGTGCTGAATACTTGAATCAGTCAAAATTTTGCGTAGTCTCTGATTATTGAATCAAACGATCTTGAACACGCTAAGAGCAACTCAAGTTCCTGAAACTTCGAATTTGGTTAAATGGTAATTGGCAAGGGATTCCGAAATGTCAATTTGAATGGGAACAGAAAGGAAAACAGAGAACTGTTTCCTGGCGTGCTTGGGTAAACACTAGTTCAGGTAACCTGCTGATACTGATTCCTGGCATGCTCCAAATATAATGGGACTGGGAACCAAAATCGCCTCCGATGAAGAGCAGGCAAACTTATGAACCATAATTTTGCTCTACTTCCGGCAAAAATTTTCAAAACCATCACTTCTGGGGATACTTACAATACTGTAAAACCCGCTTTGGACCTGCTCTTCAAGGTCGCTAATATTAAATGGAGTTCTGCTTTTCATTACTAGCTACAGGCATAATCTTAGGAAATTTAAAATTCTCTTCTAACAACCGATTGTATAGCAAATAAATGTAGAAGTTGACAGTTATTTGAAAAAGTTAGAAGGCAGCACATGTTACTGTTTTCTAAACCATCCTGCAGATTATCCCCGTAAAGATCAATAACATAATCACATGGTCAAACATTTTGGCGAGATGGAGGCAAAGTACTGAATTTTTTTACCTATTGGAAACTACAGCATGCCCATTCACGCAATACATTGCGTAATTCACGCATAAAATTCTACATGCACAGATGAAAATTGTAAGCAGGGGTTACATGCACGCAAAGTAAAATCGTCCGAATGAATGTTCAGATAGCCTAATATGCATATCAACTAATGTCATTGCCATCTACCAATTGTTTGGAACCATCTTTACCTGGTCTCAATTGCATGTATGCTTTCAAAAAGACATCTCAGTCTGATAAATTTGTAAATATTTTTGCCATGTCTTGACGTCACATTGAACTGTTTATAGAAAAAAAAATATTTTGGATATTTACAATTGTTGAAAAGTATCATTAGTTCACAAATGATTCACTTGATTTTTTGAACAATTAACTTCTATCCTGAACTTTACAAATGTCATATGAAATAAAAATATAAACAATTGACACTTGTCGAAATAGATAGATAGATTCTTTTGTTATAAGTATGACCACGAGTATATTAATATAAAATTGGATCATTTAAAGTTTTGTTTCTAACGACAAGGTATTATAAATACATACATGTATTATCAGAGCAAGAGTATATATTTACATAATCACTTATAATTTCATTATTATAAGCAGGTCTGTCATATCATGTAACTTAATTATGAACAGGCATAATGTACATGTATGAGTACTTATGTAGTGATAAAAAATGTTGAACAACAGTATTAACAAAAACAGTATGTTGCAAAGTAACACCCCCACATACCCACACCATGTCATGCCTATTTATGTGTTGTTGATCAGATCAGTGATTGTAATGGCTGTTATAATGCTACCTTAAATGATGAGAGGTGTCAGTGCTAGTAGGTAGTAATACTAAGTGAAAACAGCTGTTCAGTTACATCATGCTGACTAAAATGTTCTTGCAAACAAACACATGTTTAAACTTCTGTGTACCCCCAGATTTTGAAATGTAACACCCAATTTTCAATGACAGTGGGTACATGTACCCCTAAATTTGAAATTGAGTGGGTATACTGACTATTAGGTACTTTATGTTGGTATATTTTTTTATATGAGCCGGGTCACAACAAAACCAACATAGTGGGTTTGCTACCAGCATGGATCCAGACCAGCCTGCACATCCTTGCAGTCTGATCAGGATCCATGCTGTTCGCTATCAGTTTCTCTACTTGTGACAGAGTTGGTAAGCAAACAGCATGGATCCTGATCAGACTGGGCGGATGTCCATGCTGGTCTGGATCCATGCTGGTAGCAAACGCACTATGCTGGTTTTGTCGTGACGCAGCTCATATGTTGATACATAGTTAATCAACAAATTATATCGGGATATGCTTCGCTATACTACATGGTATGCTGGATGAATGAATACAAGCATGTAAGATTCCTGGCACGATTCTTAGTGGACTTTCCCTATGAGTCTGTCTTCAGCATTCACTTTATGTCACAGTATATTTATAAATAGGTACCATAGTTAGGACAACATGGTCGCTAGCTTAAGGTCTTCAGTGTACGGTACTAGTTGTAAGACCTTCTATAAAACCTATGTCATGTTTTTATCCTTCATAAATCTGATATTTTACATTTTCCATGTTATGTTAGGTTTAACAAGTTAATGTAAAAATGTATAGCAAATAAATTGGTATTAGACGTCAATTTACAACTAATGCATTAAACAATTTAATCAGTAATGATTTGAAAAAAATTAAATATCTGGTGAAAGATTAATTCCAAATGAATATACTGACATTAACTGAAATGAAAATTGTCATTTAAATGTCACTATATATGGCAGCAGTGGTCGTGCGATATTCACCAAGGATATCTGGATGCGGATACAGTTACAGTCAGGAAAATCAAATTTAAACAGAATATTTTGTAGTATTACTTTGGTTATAGGTCCATTTATAATTCACAGACATGTTTTCATTTTATTTTTCAAAAGCTTTCTATTTTGTTTGTCCGGGTAATAATTTCTAAAAAGCAGCTGATAGGTTATATGTAACCTGGAGAAGTGTATTATAAATGAGTATAGATGACATGTTATTTTTTCAGCTCTTTATTCCCTCTGGGGCAAAGAAAGGGAAGTCACTCATCCTTGAGCTAGATGACTTGAAGGAGTTCAAGAAAACCTTGAGGACAAAAACCAATCTTTTAGTAGCCTTCGCTAAGTCAGGTAACTTCTTTTGCGTTTTTATAGATATACAGTCATATATGATAAAATGTAACATAAAATTTGAAATTCTTGCATAGATAAAGTGAAGCATCTAAAATTGAAATATCTGCAAAGTATAATAAAGAAATATACTCACAATTTTTAGCCTGATTAGAGTAAAAAGCATTGAAACACTTCATTTTTTGTCATTTTACAGAATAAATATGATTATTGTGGATAAATGGGGTGATGAAATTATTTGAAAATTTAGACACAAGTTTTGGGCATGTTACATTTTTGTTAAAAAATGCCAAAACGTGCACTTTCTGCTTCTGTGTTTTGATAAAATGAATATCTGATTAAAACTACAGCTGTCATCGATAGAAATGATATTCATGTACCATTGATATTTTTCAATCAATCAATAATCAATACACATTATGGAAAATCAATAATTTTGACTTAATAATTGAATGTCTAGAATTAGGAAAATTCACCCAAAACATAATTATGCAGAAGCATATTTTATATCAATGATGACAAGAAATAGGCAAATGGCATTTATAAACAAAAACAAAAGACACATGTATGAAAAGCATTCATACACATAGAATAAAAAGAATTACACGTAATTAATACTTAAAGTAAGTAATTTTCAATATATTGGTGTATCGTCAATATTTGTGGTCTGATATCGATATATAGTTGATTTGATTTGCACTGAATCAATGACAGCTCTGATTAAAACAACTTGCAAAATATATTTAAACTGAAAATATTGAAATCTGACATAATTATGTTTGAATATGAAGCCGTCATAGTAGTATTTTAAACAGCTGTTACTGTGTAGAATAGTAAACTCATTGACAGTCTGTTAGGTAAAGGTTGCAACCTGTGACAGTGTTAATCCCAAAGAGGGCTGTTTGTTTTACTGACTGTTATACCTTTCACTATAACAGACCCTTTTTATCCATACAATTGCATGGAAAATTACATTAATATTGAAAATTACATTAATAAATAAGACAGATTTTCTAGTATCATACATGTATCTCAGGGGCCCCCACAGTTAATTAATTGATAATTGATAATTATTTAAGTCAAAATTAAATAGTTCCCTAAATTTTTACATCATTCAGTAAATATCATTCAGTAAATAGAGGATATTGAATGAGTGTAAGTTTAATACTGAATTTATTGAACAAGTTGAATTATATTATGTGAGCCTCTTGCGAGCATGATATTATTTTACTCAACAAGTTCAATACATTTAGTAATTATCTTACAGGAATTTAATATTCTATTTATCACATACCAAAACAGACAGTTTGAAGTGATGAAGAAACATTTTTCATTGACGCGCCTATAGTATAACGTTAACAGTTGGCGTGTCTTAATGCTATATTTATATAACCCAAGGTAGTCTAGTACTGGTGTTACTCTCCAGGAACGATGGTTAGGAAACTACCCGCCTATATGACTGAAATACTTATGGACAAAGGCGTAAAATGAAACAAACAAACAAACAATATAACCCAAAATTAATGACGTCACGTCAAAAAATACGTGCGGCCGGGTATTTGTTAAATTGATCTCTTTCGAAACTTTGGATTTTTTTTAATACAAACATGTTGAAACTTAACACCAGTCCATTATGATCATGGTGATGTAGCATAGATTTAAGGTTGTAAATGTTTAACAACTTTTTATTTGTTTTCTCAACCATGTCTCCTTTAAGTTTAAAGTGTTTTTTTTAAAGAGTGTAAAGTTACAACTGGCAAAGTATACTATTAAAGCTGCATGCCTATAGATGAGCCAAAGTAGGTCAATAAAATCACATCAGGAAAAAAATGTACTAAGATTATGGAAAAAGTAAAAACATTCAAGATTTAAGTAATAATTGACATCTTATACTGCAATCAATGACTAATTTTTCAGTATTTATAACTAATTTTGCATATTTTGACCTCTCTTTGGTAATTTACATGGGATGTAAGTGTTATTGATAATGTGTTAATTGCTTCCTTTTAATTACTTCACAATATTATTCTTTTAAATACATTTTCAAAATTTTCCAAAAAATAGCATGATTCTGGAGGCTCCATGTAAATTTACAAAAAGAAGTCAAAATTATATGCATAAATAGTTGTAAATACTGAAAATTTAGTCATGGGTGTTTGTCACACCTGTAGCAGCTCTAGTTTATAACTTGACTGCTTCATATGATCAAGTCAAGTCAATATGTATTGTTGAAATATATATATACCTGTATATAATAGTATAACATAAGCTTTGTATAGTTTGTGACCAACATCATTACAAATTCAAAAACTTCTGTTGTCTTTTAATGCTTCACTGTATTTTTGACAAAGGGACCAGGGATTAGGTTTGAGAGGTCAAGCAGTCGGTGTTCGAGTGATCCAAGGTAGACTAATATATATTTTATAGGAATTTTGCTAGGACTGGTCGATGAGTTCGAGCGAATGGAGGTATTAAAAAGGTTGAAGTTCAAGCAAACGAAGTTTGAAGTTTACAAAAAATGGTAAATGAGGAAGCTAATATAGTTATGATATATATTTTACAGACAATGCAGCATCAAAGCAGATGTCATTATTGGAGGACCTTGCCGAGGAAATTAAAGGAAAAGGAACTGTGGCCTTCGTAGATTGCAGGTATGTTGGACTGTATTGCACAGCTTATTGATAGCATCTGCTGCATGTAAATAAAAATGAAACTATTCTGATTATGTTTTAACAGTTTCATTCTAAAATATAACTATATTCACAAGCACGTTCTGTTTTTCATTTAAGTTCCAATTTTCAAGCAATATTTAAACAAGTTTATAAATTATTAAGTTATCATTATACAATGAACATCATGCTTTGATGTTTTACAATGTTGTCTTCACAGGTGGTGCTTTTCCCAAACCAACATGTTATAGAAATTTATCGGAGTTTGTTTAATATATTTAAATCAACTGTGTTACCTATAAACATTTACTTTTTGTAGAGTTATTGCCCTTCAATTTGTACATAGAAGTAGACCATTTGTTTTATAATTGGCACACTTCATTTGGTATATTTCAGTGAGGCAAAAAAACTATGCAAAAATTTGAAAGTTTCTCCGTCACCCTTGGAGCTGAGACATTACAAGTAAGATTCGTAATTATTTTTCCAGTGACATTAAAAGTTTTTTGCCTTTCCGTAAACTTATTTTCTATTAAACTTTAAACCTGTTGATCACAACTGAATTTACCCATGCAACCAGTGCTGACCAAGATCAGCTGGTATATTTGATATCGAATGCATTTACGTAAGTGAATTTATTAAAATTATGAATTATTCCTAAAAATGATGAATGGTTTTGTCCAGATTGAAAAATGGATAAGTCCATTTTGGATAACTAGCATGATATTGGTACATTCATTAAAATGTTAACCATATACTGAAATATAACCATCATAGTAAAAACTAGTGATAAAAGTAATCTCTAATACAGACATCAAAGGAAAGATTTTAAATATTTCTAAAATTTTGTAATGCTCTGAAATTTCCCATTCTACTTGGGAATGTTTCCTTTCAAAACAGCCCTGCCATTATTCATATCAATGTGAAAAGAGCATTTTGACAATTTTCATTGTGTTGGGACATCAGTGAAGGTTTATCTAAAGTGTGGTCCACAAAGTAATTTAATTTTACCTGAGAGGATTTGTACAAGGTTATAGAGATAAGAGAAAAAGGCTACATAAATAACTGAATGATGTTTCACGCGACCACTGTGTGACAAATAACTTTGAAACTCGCTATTTAAAAACCAACATATTGGAAACAGCCTTATGCAGTCTTTTCTCGGCTTGAATTTGGTCTCTGTTTGTTATGATTTTGCTATTTGTATTATTTAAAATATTTATGATGTTTAAATAGAACGAATATACTGTTTAATATTTTCAATGTGTTTGTTTGTTTTTTTCCAGGGATGGAGACTTTAACAAAAATTATGACAGAAAAATGGTTAAAAAGGTAGTGTATTCTTCTCATATAGAAAGGTTAACTCCTGACTTTACTCATTAACAACATTATTTCCAGATTTCTGGAATTTTTGTGTTATACTGGAACTGATGTACCAAAATCCCCGTTGGTTTATTCATAAGTACAGGTCATTATAAAGAGCAGCAATAATTATTTACATTGTGCCTTTAAGTTGATTTTTCCCCTCTTTGCAAAACTCCTATGTTATTTTTGCAGCCTAGGTAAAAAAAAGAAATACCCCCTCTCCAATGTGTCAAGAAAAGCCCTGCTTATATGGTTGTTATAATATTCTAAGACAAGATAGTATACATACATGTAACAGTCACATTCAATTGGTAACAAGGTGCCCGATTAGTTGCAAAGATCAAATATGTTATTTATTCAGCCATAATGTATGACTTGTTTTGATCTACCTAAGCACAAGATGAGAACAAAGTTTACACTAAATTAGTAAAATGTTTTGTTTTTTTGTAAGTTTTTTTTCTCTGCCACTATTAAGATGTGAAATGTGTCTTAGAGAAGGGTGGATATTATAGCTGAGTAAGTTAAGAAATGATTTTGTATTACTTCTTTATTTACAGTCGTTGGTGAACTTTATGTATGATCCTACAGGTGATATACCCTGGGACGAGGAGGCCGGGGCTGAGGATGTTGTACATGTAGAGAGTGAACAGGTACGTCATGTGACCTCACATTATATAGTGGCCATGACAAGATATGAATAAAGTTTTTTATATATCATGAAGAATTAATTGTCGTGAATGACTGCTAAAAAGTTGTTTGTTAGACTGTATAGTGTAGAACAGGCAGTGTGTAAAGCACCTGTACATGAAAATTTAAACCCAAACAAATATACCTGATAATTCCTATAAAGATGGATGTAACATAGCTGTATATCAGAATAATTTTTTTTTTATCAAATCTCAGTTGTAGGCTAAGCTTTTATGTTTAATCTGATTAAAAAAAAAAAATTATTAGAATTTAGGTATCTTTTTTTACCTCTAATGTGCGCTACTAAAATGTTTTTCTTGATTTTCAGGGGTTCAACAAGCTTCTTAAGAAAGGAAAATATCCAATTCTAGCCATGTTTTATGCACCATGTAAGTCTGTTAGCCATGTTTTGTATGTTATTGAAACTTTTCGCAATATTTTGTTCTAAATGTAAATTTCCTATGTCGAAAAATCTGTTAAAAAAGATCATGTACATACAACAAAATAGATAAATACAGAATCCCTAAAGAAAGCCCAACACGGCAAAATTGAAAATGTTGCAGGCTCGGTTTGATTGAGCCTGTTCATGGACGGTACTGGAAAGTGCAAGTTACCGTCCACGCCCCCTAGCACCGGCTTAAGCAGAATTCAACATTTAAACGTGAAATAGTAAAATTTTGAATTTAGAAACATCCGCAGATGTGTTCATACAGTGGTTATCATGGAACCTTCAAACTCTAATCAAAACTATAGATTATTATTATCTAGTAAGGCTTCTTAATTAGAAAAAAAATGATAAGAATTTACACTTAGTGAACATCTTTAAATGTGAAACTTTTTTAGATGTGAAACTTTATAAATATTTGGTGTTTATTGAATCAAGACTTGCCAGTAATCAAAAAGTTAGTTCATATTTGTAAATGGTAGAAAAAAAACTCACTTCCAGGCCTAGTTTTGCCCCTCTTTTCCTCATTTTGCTCCCACTTTTCCTTCCCTAGCAACCTTTTCTCTTTCAACTCTGTGTGAACGCCTCCATGGTCGAGGGGTTAGAGTCGATGACTTCTAATCCAGTTACCACTCTGGCGTGGGTTCGATCCCGGGAGATGCTTTGGTAGATTAGCACGGAGGAAGGTAGTCTAGTACTGGTGTAACTCTCCAGGAACTATGGTTAGGAAACTACCCGCTTATATGACTGAAATACTGTTGGGAAAAGGTGTAAAATGAAACAAACAAACAAATAACAAATCAACTCTGTCAACATCTTTCAACCTGTTTTTGCCTCTCTCACAATGTATCCCTATGAACTCTTTCTGGCCTTCCCCTCAGATCCCTACTTCTTTCTTCTCCTCCCATCCCCTTTTTATGCCTCCACTACTGAGGGGGGAGATAAATTTGCCTGCCCCTGTGATGCTATCATACCGTCTTGTTTGTAATGCGGGTGCATCTGTGTCTTGTAGACACATTTGTAGTTTTCCCTCATCCTTGCCCCCACACTATCATGCTTCTTCACAACTCTCCTTGTCTCTTCAAACACCTTCCCTCTGCCCCTTCCTTCTTTCTATAAATAGATAAGTTTTTAACGACCATTTTACGTCCCCGTTATTTTACAAATAACATAATTGGGCCGCTTCACAACAAAACTAACATAGTGCATTTGCGACCAGCCTGGAACCAGACCAGCCTGCGCATCCGCGCAGTCTGATCAGGATCCATGCTGTTCGCTTACCAACTCTAATACAAGTAGAGACACTGATAGCGAACAGCATGAATCCTGATCAGACTGTGCGGATGTGCAGGCTGGTCTGGATCCATGCTGGTCGCCAACGCACTATGTTGGTTTTGTCATGACGCGGCTCATATATTCATGTACTATATAACAGGGTGTGGATTCTGTAAGAGGTTGAAGCCAGATTTTGCTGCAGCAGCTACAGAACTAAAAGGACAAGTGGTTTGTGCTTCTACTTATATATTTCTCTCACAGTAACTATAGTAACTGAAGTATGTACAAATACGAATAATTCTAATCAATCTTTTAGAAAATTAATCCCCTATATTTTTTGGAAAGATGAAGTTATTCAGTAGTTATACAGTCGTAAATGTTTACCAGTGTCACATCTTGTCAATTTATTTTCATTAATTTGCTTTTGTAAGAAATACAAATTTCTGATATTTTTAGTAAAAAAAATAATAATACTTTGAAAAACTGTATGTGTTGTTGTTGTTTCTACGTCATAATATTTTCAGTGAAATGGTAAGTTTTATTAGCATGCAATAAAAAATTTAACATCATTTAATAGATAGATTTTATTATTGGCATTTTGCATAGAATGGTAAGTTTTACTGGACTGTACAGCAGTCATTATGTATTTATAGTAAACAAGATTGCTGCTATAATATTTCAGATAATGGCAGGGATAGATGTAGATAAACCACAACAGATGGCCCTTAGAGCACAATATAACATTACAGGATTTCCTACACTTTACTATTTTGAGTAAGATTCTTTTGTTTATATGTTCAAGCTGCACATCTCCAGTACCAGACGAGCCAAAATATTTCAAGAAAATCAACCTTGAGAAAAATATACTCATGATTCTTTTGTTTATAGATTCAAGCCACTACAATAAAACTAACTGGCTAGATTAAGGTTAGTAGCTCTACCTGATTGCTCACAGGTGGATGAAAAATAATGTTCAGAGCGGCACCTGACACCTTACTTGTTAATAAAGCTGGAATGTTGCCTTATACCATTTATTTGTCAGTCTGTCTTCAGACTGAACTCCAAAATATAATTGCAATTGTATATTCCTGTATTGCATGAATGGTTTACTGTATGGTTTATGTGATAATAAATCATCTTTTATATTTTATATATGTGATTTGTATTTCATACTTTCAGGGGTGGAAAATTAAAATACAAATATGGTGGAGAAAATAATAAAGAAGGTCTTGTAAAATGGCTTAAAAAGTAAGTAGTTTATATGCTAATTGGAAACATTCTACCCTGTACCTGAAGTGACTAGCTTTTGCCACCGGTATAGAGCCAGACTAACCTACACTACCAGGCAGCCTGACCAGGCTCTATACTGTTGGCTGTCCCATTCTTGTATTTTATTTACTGGAATCCTGTAAACTTCCAGCAGACTGTTCCAAATTCCGTTGTATACAGTTCTGAGTTGGCTGTTGAATGTGCATACTTCTTTTTTTTTCAGGTCTATGTTCTGTTAAATAAAACGTAACGTCACTCATTTAAAAAGGAAATTATCAAATATTTTCATTGTTGTTTATTTTAAACTAAAATTAAAAGTTCACACATATTGTGATTTATGAAAAGAAAAGGTAGGTAATTGAATTGTTTATAATATAAGGGGAAGTAACTGTTTATAATATAAGGGGACATAACTGTGTATATAAGGGGAAGTAACTGTGTATAATATAAGGTGAGGTAACTGTGTATGATATAAGGGGAGGTAACTGTGTTTTCAGTCCCAGTGAGCCAGAGGAGCCTAAACCGGAAACACAGTGGGAGGACGAGGCACCGGAAGTAGCTCATCTCCATGACAACACCTGGGAGGATTTCATGTCAACACATGGTTCCGTACTTGTCATGTTTTATGCCCCATGTGAGTTTATTCATTATGTCTAGTCATAGTTTTATGGTATTTTACCTTAGGGTTAGATAATATAGTAGGGGCGTCAGTGGCAAAGTGGTAAAGGTTGTTGACTTAGAGCCATATGCCTCTTACCATTGTGTGCTTGAATCCTGATAAGAACTTTTGATCCAGAACTTTGGATCCTTTAATGTGAGGAAGCTATCCAGCTAGCTTAGAGCCTGAAATAATGCATGGAAGGGTATGTGAGGTCATCCTCCACCAATAAAGCTGGAAAGTTGCCATATGACCTTTAGTGTGTTGATGTGACCAAAAACCAAAAATAGATAAATAAGTACAGTTATAACTTAGTTTGATTATATTAATGAACCTTGTGTATAGGTTTTTTGCCATGATAGATTTTAAAAGCTGTTGAAACAAATGAAGAATACTAAGACTATAATGTGTATATCATTATTTCTTGTATTTGTCATACAATGTTGCTATGGTTACGTACAGGGTGTGGTCACTGTAAGAAGATGAAACCTGAATACCAGGAGGCAGCTCAAACTATGAAAGCAGAAAATGTAAGTTCTTGTTAGATTGATGACATAGTATTTAAGTTATTGTGTAAATTTAAAAGCCCATTATGCCTCAGTAGGGCTAGCAATTTTATTTCTCAAAAAACTTTTTGGTATCTCATTACAGTTTTCAAAGTAATACTCATTTGCCATGTACATGGACTATCTTTTGCAACTATAGCTCTTTTGGCCTCTAGTGTAATTATTATGAATTAGTATTTCGATTGGAAGTCAAAATATAACTTTGTCTGTAATTTTACTACCTTTATGACACATGTCTGCACATTCAGCGCTACTTTCTTCAGATGTTTTAACATCTTATATGCTCTACATACATTATTCAAACACTATTAAGCACATGTTTGACATTTCTACAGAATAAAAACATACATGGGTGTCATGATTGTGCCTTTAAAGCAGCATGCCTCCAGATTCATGCTAATTTTCATGAAAATTTTTAAAATGAATTTAAAAGTAAAATATTGTGAGATGAACAAAGAAAATAATTTTTACATTGCAAACAGCTCTTGCAATCCACATAAATTACCAAAAAGAGGTCAAAATAAGCAAAATTAGCCCTTACTGCGTCAGAAACGCAGTAGAACTATGGTGCCGCAAAATCAGCCTTTAATCGCATGGAACAGGTAAATCCTCACTTGAATCTTGAAACATTTTACTTTTCGTAAAATTTTAGCAATTTTTTCTCAAATTTAATTTTCTTGATATATTTCGGCTCATCTGGAGGCATGAAGCTTTAACAATAACCAAGAAAAAAATATAAATATAGCTTTGGTAATGTGAACTCTTAGCCTGAAACACCATTGATACAATATACACTTGCAAAATAAAATACTATTTCTTTCAGGATTTCCTGTAGTCCTTAGTAATTATCTATGTCACTTTACTTCCCTGCAAATAATAAAACACTACTTTTACAATACCATGTCAAAATCTAATTCAATTAGGAGTGAAACAATTAACTAATGTTTTTCATTTATCATTTCAGCTGGTAAAATGAGTTACTATATTATACTCTAGTGTTTCTGTATAAAGAACATGTTATATTATACCAATATATTTTGTTTAAGATTGAAGGACAGTTGGCAGCTGTAGATGTTACAATAGATAAAAAATTAGGAGATCAATTTAGTATAAAGGGATTCCCAACAGGTAATTCTTCCTTAATTATACAGTAGTAATTCAGTTGACTAAATAAAACTTATTAGTCCCCTACCGGTTTAACCGGAGGGGACTTTAGGTTTACCCTCCGTCCGTCCGTCCGTCTGTCTGTCCGTCAGTCTGTCTGTCAGTCCGTCCACAAAACTGGATCCCGCGATAACGCAAAAAGTACTGAAAATATTTTTATGAAACTTGATATATGGATAGATTGCAGTATGGAGATTATGCACGTCTTTTTCTTTTCTTCCTATGTTGAAAATTCTGGTTGCAATGGCAACAAATAGTCTGAAAATATTGCAAATTTAACACATAAACTTGATCCAGTGATAACTCAAAAAGTACTGAAAATATTTTTATGAAACTTAGAATATGGGTAGATGGCAGTCTGCAGATTATGCACATCTTTTTCTTTTCTTCCTATGTTGAAAATTCTGGTTGCTATGGTAACAAATAGCCTGAATTTCAAGATTTCTGATTTAAATTTTTCAGCTTTTTCACTATAAGTTCTTTATTTCTTAAGGTGTTTACTTCAAACTTTAAATATAAGTTTCTGGTCATCAACCACATCATATGTGACAAGGTTTACAACTCTAGCACAAAAATTATCAGTATTACCTCCGTTGAACTTAGAATTTTTATGAAAAAAAATGTTGTCTTTTTTAAATAACTTCTTTATTTCCTAATGTATCTACTTCAAACTTCATATATATGTTTCTTATTATCACTCAACATTTTTGAGAAGGTTAAATACTCTAGCAAGACTATTTCCAGAATTATGTCCCCCTTGAACTTAGATTTTTTTCGAGAAATTGGTATTTTTTACTCCAACTTCTTTATTCCTTATAGGATTTACTTTAAAATCCCACATGGTAATAATATGACAAGGTTGTATAAACATAATTTCCTTACTAGGCAGGGAAACTTAACACATTACTGTAAAATAGACAAACTTAGAACTCAAAAGATTTAAGTTCATTCATGTCATTCATTCACTGGTAAAATTTAAATCAGAATGTTGCTGGGGTTCTAACCGGTAGGGGACTTATGAATTGCTTGCAATACTATGATAATTGCTTGTTCTTTTTATTTTTAATAAGTCCATTGTTTCTAAAAAATATGAAAAGTTGATTTAACATTGAGGAATATTGAGGGGCGTCCATGGCTGAGTGGTTAAGGTCGTTGACTTCAAACCACTTGTGTCTTATCACACCAGTGTTGACGGATTCTTTCATGTGAGAAAGCTATCCAGCTAGCTTACGGAACGTGGGGTGGTTCTACTCAGGTGCCAGTTTTGCCTGAAATAATGCACGGAGGGACACCTGCAGTCTTCCACCAATAAAAGTGGAAAGTCACCATATGACCTATACTGTGTTGGTGCCGCGTAAAACCCAACAACATCAAAAATTTGACCTACTAATATGATTATAAATATATTTAATTGCACTAGATTATATAGATAAAAAGAAGTGAAAATACAGACACCCAATAACTTTTGAGATCATTTTATCCCCAAAGAACATTAGGCCTATCCTTGTAATTTATACACAAGTGTAATGAGTTATGTAACTTTAGTGTTTATTTTCCACTTGTATTATTGCCTTAAAACTTGTTTTTGTTACAATTTTATATCACTTGTTGCGTGTTAACATATTCCATAATATATTATTGTGCATGTATATGTCATAACTGTTTGATTCTTGTTTCTTTTCAGTGAAGTACTTTAAGTAAGTATAAACATTATTTATATAAAAATCTTAGATTATTTATACATATGAAAATACATTTTCAATCAAATGCAGTCCAGACTTTGCCAAGTAAATTCTTAAGTTTGACCTTTATTTAGACTACATTGCATTTTTATAGACTTTTGGATTAAACTTTGCTTGTGTCAGTTGAATGAAATGATGGATTTCCAATTTCATGTGTGAAATGGTAGGGAATGTCTACTGCATGTGCAGATTGCAACATTCAGGTTGTTGTCATATGTAGAGGTCAAATGTTCTGTTCCATATCTTAGTGACTTTTGCAAATAGTTTGAATTAATTTGGACCAAAAAATTCAGTACCATAACACAGTGTGCTAATGTCAAGGATATTTACAATACACATTTTTAAGTTGACATAATTATGGTTATTTAAATGTGTCGATCCATGAATCAATTTTGGAAGCAATAAGAATATATGAATATGGCTGTATATTTTTTGTTGTTTTCAGAAATGGTGTAGAAGAGTTTGATTTTAATGAAAGAACAGCTGATAAAATTGTTGATTTTATGAGAGAGTAAGTAGTATTTCTAAAAAATCCTGTATGTAATGTTAAAATTAAAATTTAAACAACCAATGATACTATCTTTTACAGCATACTTTTGATGCAAGACTAATAATATCTGACACATGTTTGCAGTTCAGATCGGAATATCCAACCCTCGATCTGATTTTCTTGCATATTCTACCTTATTCCATCATATTTTTAAAGTCTTTACCTTAATAAAACAATTTTCCATGGGAATCTATGTCAGAACACCAGTAACTATTTCTTACAACAGCATATGAAATGACAACTTCATTCATTAAGGTAATATTACGTCATACTAAGCATGCCATTATAGAGCACGCTACTCGTTTGGCACTCCCACGTCCCCCATGCCAGATGAAATTTTCGGCAGAAATGCCAGTCTGATATGCAAGAATATATTTTTCCACAGTGATATACAGAATTAAACTGCATTTGTCATCGATAAGGTCACAGGAAACATGCGACTCATCTGGCACCCTTTATGCCAGACGAAATTTCATGCATGGGTAAGACTAACAGAAACACAGTCTAATATGCAAGAATATATATTTCCACAGTGATTTACAGAAATTAAACCTCATTTATTGTTGATAAGGTAACAGGAAACATTATTTTCTGTAAATATTTCAGTCCAAAAGAGCCCCCACCGCCCCCGGAGCCAGAAAAATCGTGGGAGGAGACTGAGAGTGATGTTGTACATCTGACAGATGATGATTTTAAACCTGTACTGAAAAAGAAGAAACATGCTTTAGTTATGTTTTACGCTCCATGTAAGTCAGTGTTTATAGTGAATATTATAATAATGATAATAAAGTAACAACCTGTTCGCCTAGTTTAATAGAGAGAGGATTTGTAATCAAAGGGTCCCTGGTTCTTTCCCCAGGTGAGGCAACGTTTCATATTGACAGTTTATCTTGGACATTGTGGTTAATGGTCATTTGTCCCTCTCCTATGATTCAGAAATGATGTTGGTTTAATAGACCGTTACTTGTGGAGAGACTGGTAATTACAGGTTAGTTATCCAGTAGAGCCGGTTAGGTGGCCGATTGCCAAGATACGACCAAAAATGTGTTAAACTCTGGCTTAAAACCAAACAAACTGTAGTATAATATATGCATGTATATATAATATATATGAATATTGAATAATTGTTAGGTATACGATTTTTCATTTTTAGCTCAACTATTCAAAGAATATGAGAGCTATTGTAGTCGCCCCGGCGTCGGCGTTGCGTCGGCGTCAGCGTCTGCGTTGGTTAAAGTTTTTTGTAAAGTCAAATATCTCAATTATTGCTTGAGATATTCAATTGAAATTTAAATACTTTTTTATAGTAACAATGTACATCAGTTTGCAAAATTGCATAACTCTGCCTGCAATATTTGCAGAATTATTTGCCCCTTTGAAACTTAGAAATTTTATTTTGGTTAAAGGTTTAAAGTCTTCAAAGATATTTACTTGAAACTTTACACATGCACTTAGGGTCATAATTGGAGGGTCATAATTATATGTCACTGACCAAGTTCCATAACTCTATCTTGCATTAAGGCTGATTCATTTCCCCTTTTCTACTTTAAGTCTCTTTGTTAATGTTTACATGCAAGTTCTTCATATCTCAATAACTATTAAAGGTATTTATTTAAAACTTCACATATGCATTTAGGGTCATAATTGTAGGTCACTGACAAAGATCCATAATTCTATCTTGCATTTAGGCTGATTTTTCTCCCCTTTTTCAACTTAGAAATTCATGGTAAAGTTTTGCTTGTAAGCTGTTATCTCAATAGCTACTGAAGGGTTTGTGCCTTTTTTGGGACAATTTTATGCATTCATAATAATAAAGCAGTGATTTACTTGATAAAACATCTTAATAACAAGCCTTTGTACCTTTTCTGTCAAATTTATGTATTCATAGGTAATACTGACAGCTCTTGTATGTTATAAATTTTATCTGACAATTTGGTGGACAGCAATATGCCTAATGTAGTTAATCATCTCCCCCTGTTACAAATGATGGAGAAGATGGTAATATCTTAAAAAAAAAAAATATTAAGTTGTACACCATAAAATACCATGCAAAACATACCTAGATAATTTTATATGTTATATACATGTATTGTATTACAGGGTGTGGTCATTGTAAGAAAGCTAAACCAGAATATATGTCTGCAGCAGCTCAGTTTAAAGATGATACAAAGGTCAGTGTTTTTATTGCATTAATTTGACATCCTTCCAAATACGAAACTGTCGTTAAAGACATTTTGGAATGTGAAAGCTGCAATGCTTTGGATAAAACATAAAACATTTGAAAGTTAGAGACCAGAGATATAAAAAAAAAAAATAACCCAGAATCATTGTAAATCTCTATAATGGAATTTTTTTCAGCCTATGAAATTATTTATTATTAAAGCACACTTTCATACATGATTTTGTTTAAATCAAATATTATGGCTGCCATCTCCTGTTCTAAAGAGAAAATCCAGCAATAATGATCGCTGCATCATTATTGTCATGCAAGAGTCAATGACTTCTAATCCAGTTACCTCTCTGGCGTGGGTTTGATCTCCGGGAGATGCTTTGGTAGTTTAGCGCGGAGGAAGGTAGTCTAGTACTGATGTAACTCTCCAGGAACAAAGGTTAGCAAACTACCCGCCTATATGACTAAAATACTGTTGGAAAAAGGCGTAAAATGAAACAAACAAACAATTGTAATTTTTTAGTAATGCCCCTTTTTACCATAAAATTTCTGTCAGAATTGGTTGTTGACAGTTGTTGCTATGATTATTTCAGGTAATGTTTGCAGCCATGGATTGTACTATACACAGGACTTCATGTACAGCTCATGATGTTAGTGGATATCCTACATTTAAATATTTTAACTACGGGAAAAATGCGCAGAAATATATGGGAGGAAGGGAGGTAAGTTGGTTCACTTAAACAGATTTGTATTATGTCTCTTTTTGAGTCTATATAAGGTCATAGTTGGAAATGAGAATAGATTTTAGAAGATTGTGTTTTGAGAATGAAAAAGAAAGTTGTGGTGTAATTCGACACACATGGTTTAGATTATATTGATTAACTTTAAAAGATATGAGAGTTGTTGCAAAATTAAAGATTATTTTCTCAAAAATATTGTTATTCTATTCCAAGTTCATTTTGTCGGCTGTAAGATCACATTACTTTGCATTTTACCTTTTTATTTTGCTCAAATTTGCAACCCACAAATTTAAGACCCCACAAGTCCTACAAAAAGTGTCCTTTGTGACAAGACCATAATATTGAAATTTCATGCCCATAAAATCAAGTGAATTCACATAAAATAGGCAACAGATTTATTTGAGGCTGATCCTATAAGGCTAAGAGACCCACTTTATTTTCTTATACCCCGACTGACAAGTGTAACAAAGTAAAAAAGGGTCTCCTTATTGCATTATTAAAATTATTCCGGCAACATGTAGTAACTGTAGAGTTAGTGGATGCCAGCAGGTGGTGTTGTAAGTCATGGCTTAATTGGGACAGTTACATTACTGTCATAATTTGAAAAGACTAAATGTTGCCCTTGTAAATTTATTGGCTCTTAAATTGTCACATTAAAAGGAACCACTGAGGTCCCAATGCCTTAAAACATAAAATTTGAAAATCTTACAAATATCAGTTGGAACACTTAAAATGGTAAAACTCTGCAAAGGATAACAAAGAAATATACAAAAAAAAATGATTTGAAAATCGATTTTCTGTGCTATTCTAAGCCGGATTTGAGTGAAAAGCGTTGCCACGCTTTTCATTTTCTGGTCATTTTGCGCAATAAAAATGATTGTTCTGGGACAACAGAATGAGGGCATGAACTGAAAATTTGCAAACAAGTTATTAGCCCAGACCTTCATCAAATTGTACACAAATTGCGGGGAAAATGTTCAAAAAACCTCAGTGGAGTCCCTATAAATTTCAATTAATTAAGAATTTGCTTTGATCTATACTTTGATGATCGAGAAACAGTGTCTGCCATATATAATGTATGAAATGTTTTTTTATGCCAGGAACCAGACTTTATAAAGTTTATGAAGGATCCCCTCAATACAGAGCCGGAACCCAGCAAGCCTCCATCACCTTCCCCAGAAGAACACTGGAGTGACGTGACTGGTTTCCAAAATGTGGCCTTTCCATCTGGAGATAATTTTGAGAACTTTATAAAAGAACATAACTCAGTTCTTGTTATGTTTTATGCACCATGTAAGTGTAGTTTGACATAAATTATATGTTATGAATTCCTTTAACCTACTGAATTAATATATCTGCTTTCACTTGAATTTGCGCAACACTTTTAAAGTTCAAGAGATTTCATTATCAAATTACCAACAGTATAGAACCTGGTTGAGTCTGGTCATATGTTCAGATTCGCACGCTGGCCAGACTATACTGGAGGTAAAGGCTTGTCACTGTTACCTATAAGAAGCTACATTATATGTATAACTTATGTTGATGTTTCTTTTATAATTGCCCATGACAAAATACAAAATGTTTCAAAAATGCATACATGGTGTAAACGTTGCTTACAATAAAGAATAAAATAATTAATTGAATAATTAATTCAATAATAATTGGAATGACAACCAGGTATATAAGTATTATTTTGCTATCAAGTTGTGGTCATATTGCAAAACTGTGAACTGTTTTTAGCTCACCTGTCACAAAGTGACAGGGTGAGCTTTTGTGATCGCTTTTCGTCCGGCGTCCGTCTGTCCGTCGTCCGTAAACTTTTACTTTAAATGACATCTCCTCATAAACCACTAGGCCAATTTCATCCAAACTTCACAGGAATGTTCCTTTGGTGGTCACCTTTAAAAATTGTTCAAAGAATTTAATTCCATGCAGAACTCTGGTTGCCATGGCAACCGAAAGAAAAAACTTAAAATGTCTTCTTTTAAAGAACCCAAAGAGCTAGAGCTTAGATATTTGGCATGAAACATCATCTAGTCAGTGTCTACCAAGTTTGTTCAAATAAAAGCCCTGGGGTCAAAATTGGCCCCGCCCCAGGGGGTCATTGATTTTCCCTATATGCATATAGTAAAACCTTAAAAAATCTTCTTTTAAAGAACCCAAAGAGCTAGAGCTAAGATATTTAGCATGAAACATCCTCTAATGGGTGTCTACCAAGTTTGTTCAAATAAAAGCCCTGGGGTCAAAATTGGCCCCGCCCCAGGGGGTCATTGATCTACCTTATATGCATATAGTAAAAACTTAAAAAATCTTCTTTTAAAAAACCCAAAGAGGTAGAGCTTAGCTATTAAGCATGAAACCTCTTCTAGTGGGTGTCTAACAAGTTTGTTCAAATAAAAGCCCTGGGGTCAAAATTGGCCCCGCCCCAGGGGGTCATTGATTTACCCTATATGCATATAGTAAAACCTTAAAAAATCTTCTTTTAAAAAACCCAAAGAGGTAGAGCTTAGATATTTGGCATGAAACATCTTCTAGTCAGTGTCTACCAAGTTTGTTCAAATTAAAGCCCTGGGGTCAAAATTGGCCCCGCCCCAGGGGGGTCATTGATTTTTCCTATATGCATATAGTAAAACCTTAAAAAATCTTCTTTTAAAGAACCAAAAGAGCTAGAGCTAAGATATTGAGCATGAAACATCCTCTAATGGGTGTCTACCAAGCTTGTTCAAATAAAAGCCCTGGGGTCAAATTTGGCCCCGTCCCAGGGGGTCATTGATTTACCCTATATGCATATAGTAAAACCTTAAAAAATCTTCTGTTAAAGAACCCAAAGAGCTAGAGCTAAGATATTTAGCATGAAACATCCTCTAATGGGTGTCTAACAAGTTTTTTTCAAATAAAAGCCCTGGGGTCAAATTTGGCCCATTCAGGGGGTCATTGATTTACCCTATATGCATATAGTAAAACCTTAAAAAATCTTCTTTTAAAAAACCCAAAGAGGTAGAGCTTAGCTATTAAGCATGAAACATCTTCTAGTCAGTGTTTACTAAGTTTGTTCAAATAAAAGCCCTGGGGTCAAAATTGGCCCCGCCCCAGGGGGTCATTGATTTTTCCTATATGCATATAGTAAAACCTTAAAAAATCTTCTTTTAAAGAACCCAAATAGCTAGAGCTAAGATATTTAGCATGAACCATCCTCTAATGGGTGTCTACCAAGTTTGGTCAAATAAAAGCCCTGGGGTCAAATTTGGCCCCGCCCCAGGGGGTCATTGATCTACCTTATATGCATATAGTAAAAACTTAAAAAATCTTCTTTTAAAAAACCCAAAGAGCTAGAGCTTAGCTATTAAGCATGAAACCTCTTCTAGTGGGTGTCTAACAAGTTTGTTCAAATAAAAGCCCTGGGGTCAAAATTGGCCCCGCCCCAGGGGGTCATTGTTTTTCCTTTTATGTATATAGTTAAAACATAAAAAATCTTCTTTTAAAAAATCTTAAAAGCTAGAGCTAAGATATTTAGCATGAAACATCTTGTAATGGGTGTCTACCATTCTTGTTAAATTAAGGGCCCTGGGGTTAAAAAATTGGCCCGGCCCCGGGATCATTTATTTTCCTTTTATGTATATAGTAAAAACTGAAATATGTTCTGTTAAAAAGCCCAAAGAGATAGAGTTTAGATATTAAGCATGAATTATCTTCTAGTGAGTGTTTACCAAGTTTGTTCAAATAAAAGCCCTGGGGACAAAATTGGCCCGCACAGAGGGTGTGGGTCATTGTTTTTCACTATATGTGTTTAGTAAAAACTTAAAGATTTTCTTAGAGCTAGAGCTTAGATATTTATCATGAAACATCTTCAAATGGGGATCTACCAAGTTTGTTCAAATAAAAGCCCCTGGGTTAAAATTAGCCCCGCCCTGGGGACCTATATACAGGTGAGCGATTTCAGGGCCATCATGGCCCTCTTGTTAGAGAAAATTCCTGTTTTGAATGGGTGTATATTTTATAATAAGTGCTCACTTTAAAACAAGGTGTTTTATAGAATTACTTATTTTAAACAAAGTGTGTTATAGAATAACTCATTTTAAAACAAGGTGTGTTATAGAATAACTGTATGTATTTTTTTGTTTATCAGGGTGTGGTCATTGTAAAGCAATGAAGCCTGCATATGGTGAAGCTGCTACTTTACTTAAACAAGAAAATGTAAGTTTAAACTAATATCATTATATATAAATACTTTATTACAAAGGGTTTATATTCCAGGGGCATCTGTGGCTGAGTGGTTACGGTTGTTGACTTCATACCACTTGCCCCTCACCTTTGGTCTTTGGATTTTTTCATATGAAATGGCGGTGGTTCTACTCAGGTGCCCTTTCATGCCTGAAATAATGCATAGAAGGGCACTGGAGGTCTTCCTCCACCAGTACAGATGGAACCTCGCCATATGACCTTTGACTGTGTCGGTGTGACATAAAACCCAATCAAACAAACAAGTATTTAAATTCCTGTAAAACTTTTATTTTATGTGTTCTAGTTGACATTTTTGCATGATTGTACCTGAAATATTGCACTCAGGGACAAATGTTATCTTTCTCCACCAGTAATGGCTGAAAAGTCTCTGTATGGCCTATACAGTGTCAGTGTGTCTTAAACCATAGCCTGATGGAAACCAAAGTAATCAGTTGTACTGCCAGTATAGAACCAGGCTGACATAATATATGCTGTCTGAATGGGCTCTTCTATTGTTTGACCAATTTCTAATTCTTTGTCATGATTGATATCCCTAAAATTAATAATGGGTTGTTCCAAAATAGAAGCTGGAATAGTCTTTTTAAGAAATTCAGCAGGACAAGGTGAAAGGTTAAAGAAAAACAGAAATTACAGATGGAGTCAAATAGAAATTTTTATAAGCTTTTTTAAGACATAGATAATCTATAATTGCGGGTGTGATGTTTTATATAATTGTGGGCGTGATATTTTATATAATTATGGGAGTAATATTTGATATTTTCAGCATGCAGGTATATTAGCAGCTGTTGATGCAACTATAGATAATGCCTTAGCTAGTAAATATGAAGTGAGAGGTTATCCTACTCGTAAGTTGTGTTAACTTTATTTGTAACAAAATAGATATTATTCTTATAGTTATTATTAATGAAGTCAGACATGGTTACTAGTATTGAGCAGATTCAGCACCCTTGGCCGAGCCGATCAGGTCATTGTTTTAAAACGACTGGCCCCTAACTGCTGTAGGTTCGAATGTCATAAGGTACTTAGGAGTATTTCATGATAGGAAACTATCCAGCTAGCTTACAGAACATAGGTGGTTCTACTAAGCTGCCTGTTTGTGCTTGAAATAATGCACGGAGGGGCACCCGAGTCTTCCCGCACCAGTTAAGCTGGCATTGTAATATGACCAAAACTGTGTTGGTGTGACGTAAAACACATCAACAATAAATAAATAGGTTATTGAACTTTGATCCAAGAGGAGCAGTGGTATTGGTGTTGGGCTCATAATCCAAGAGTTTTTCTTCCACAATGAAGATATTAGTGTGACATGCTTTTATACAGCCATGTGATTTAAACTCAACAAAAAACCTCCAAGAAGATATTTCAACTTGGTAATCAATTTTATTGCCACCTGTCATTGATTAAAGTTGAACATTGAATTTGTTATATTTATTTAATAATGTTGGGAATTTGTTCATAAATCAAATAACTGTTGATATATGCGACACATTTTAATGTATTCAATGTAAACTTTTATTTTGTTTCTCTATTTTACAGTTAAATATTTCAAGTAAGTATGTTTTCTTTTTTTCCTGTTTATATAGTTGTGTGACAATTTTAACATATTTTTATATTTTTGCAAGATTTAAAAAAAAGAAGTAAATTTGATCTGTTGATCAATGGACTCTATGTCCAAAAGGTTAAAGTCTCTGACTTTGAACCACAATGGGTTTGAATCTAGCAAGAAACTCTGGATTCTTTCATGAATAAAAGCTATCCCACTAGCTTGTATAAGATTGATGGTTCTACTCAGTAGTTCACTTGTGCTGGAGACGCACCAAATATAATACTCTTCAAATAAAACTGGACACTTGGAGTGACTTAATTAAATACTGACAAACCATCTATTTCTCTAAATGTATGGATTTCAATTTCAAAAGATTAAAATGAATTAGCTCACTGTATAGAGTTTGGTCAAGCTGCTCAGACAGTTTATTGGTGATTTAGACAAAAGAGTTATACTGTTACACTGTCTGTTCCTACAGAGGGGAATCAGTATACTGAAGTGTAACCCTAGTGTGTTAGATATATCACATTGTGAATTGTATTATTAAAATACATAAATAATTTTCCTGTAGTAAGTATAGTTTTGTTCTTGTTTCAGGAATGGTAAATTTGCCTTTGATTATGGTAGTGGAAGATCTACAGATAATTTAGTTGCCTTTATGAAAAAGTAAGTGTCATAAAGTCTCACAATTTCTTCACAACTTGTATGTTTGTTCTTTAATTCAACACATTCAATTTTTATTATTTTCATGAGATATTAATATTTAGCCAGATAGGAAATTTATATGCAACAAGAATAGAAATTATGGTATCATAGATTACCTGCCCTATGTAATATTAGATGCTTAGTAATTTAACAAAACTTTAATTGTGAATTATATCCTAATAATTGTATTATCTTTAAGTATTACCAGTCTTGTTAGTCCAAACAATCAACAACACAACAAAGTATAAATCATAATCACTTAGAGTAGTATTATATTAGCCGGATGAATTGGATTTTCCCAACTAAAAATAGAATTAGACTTCTAGCAATAATAATACATAGTTGACTCTTTGTATTTTAACTACGCATTCACATTAAAAAATAATTGTTGCATTTTGTACTTTATGGCATATTTCCCTATTCACATACTTAACTTCATTATAATCATTAAATGTAACTCCACAGTGATGTGATTATAGAAAATTGAAGAATTATTGAAAGGATATAGGTACAGGTAGAGTTTATACATGTACATTTGTATAATTGTTTTGTGTTTTGTTTAGTCCTAAAGAGCCAGGACCACCCCCGGAGGCAGAGCCAGCCTGGGACACGGTTAAGAGTGCTGTAAATCACCTGACTGGTGATAACTTTAGCTCATTTACAGCCTCGAAAGATGCTGTCCTTGTCATGTTTTATGCTCCATGGTGTGGTCATTGCAAGAAGGCCAAGCCAAGTTACCAGGGAGCTGCAGATAAGTTAGGGGATAGTCGTCGAGCTTTAGCTGCCGTGGATTGTACTGCTGCTAAAAGTAAAGGTTAGTATGCATGCCTACAATGTCTTGTTGATCGAACTTAGTTAACTGAATACCAACTGATGAAGCTTAATAAAGCGAAACATGTATTGATAAACTGTGGGCTTGTAAATTTTTTATCATATTTATTGAATTTCCCAGTATGACTAGGCCAGGTTATATTATGAATGAGACCAAAATCAAACTCAGGGCTATTGTGATACAAAATTTTAAGGTTGTTAGTCAACATATACAGCCTGTGTTAGATATTACACATTATCACACACCCGTGCCGATTATGCGACTCCGTAAATATGGTATTGCACGGCCGTGCATATATTTTGACGTGACGTCATTAGCGTTATACAAACATAGTGTAAAGACGCGCTAAATGTTAGCGTTCTACTGTAGGCGCGTTAACGGAAATGACTCTTATTTCACTTTAAACGGTCTTTATTTTGAGTATGTGATAAATAGAATATTAAATTCGTGTAAGTTCATTACTGAAATTATTGCACTCGTTGAATAAAATAATATTATGCTCGCCAGAGGCTCGCATAATATAAATTTATTCAACTCGTGCAATAAATTCAGTATTGAACTTACACTCATTCAATATCCTCTATTTATTGTTGGACGCTCAGACATTTTATAGACTTTGGCCCATCTTAGATATATATTGTCTTACTGCAATGTTACATTGACATCACTTTTGTTTAAATGTTTGAATACATGGTGTAAATGTTTGTTGTCTCTTTACATATTCAAAACATATATAATGTTATAATATTGTAATTGAGAAGACACTGAAATATTTTGATTCATTTAAGAAGGTTGCATTTATTTTTCAAGTGAAGAAGAAAATATTGACAAAATGGGACTATCTTTTATATTGTAAAAACCTTAGAAGCATGAATATCTTGTTAAACAAGTAACTTCATCACCGTAGAATAAGTCTGGTTAATGTGTTTTATTTTCAGATTTATGTTCCAAAGAAGGCATTAAAGGATTCCCAACAATAAAGTTGTATGTTAAAGGTCAGTTCCTCGTAGAATACAGCGGTGATAGAACAGAAGAAGAGTTCTTTAAATTTATCATGAACGCCCCAACGGTGAAGGAAGAATTGTAGAGTTAAAAGATCTGTCTTTGTTTTATGTTTTAAACCATGTCATATTTCAGTTTCCATTACTTGATTTATTAAATAAACTTTAAGCCAGGTCAGTTAAAAAGTGTTTCCTGGAAAGAAAATGTTCACAAGATTTTACGACTTGTAGAAAAATTTTCATGAATTTGTTCCAATTTCTAAAATGATTTTGTTCCAATTTCGAAGACGATTGTATTGAAAAGATTCAGTATTACTTTATTTCCTTTGATAATTGGAAGATATTCTCTTTGGTATATTGTTTAAGGTAATATTGATATCTTATTGTGTAAGATTCAGTATTTAACATTTAGATACCTTGAATTAGTCAGTTTTCAATTTATTTATTTCGGGTTGATTTAAGTTACTTTACTAACAATCAGTTGATACTCTGACATCGAATATTTTTTTTATAAAAAAACCCAACACATTTCCATAGTAACATTTTCATTAGATTTTATATGTTTATATAAGTGTTAGGTTATTGAATACTGTTTTTGTCATTGTTTTATTAATGATGCAATTGTTAAGAACGTTTTATTCCTCCCATTTTGTAACATTTAAAATGTGAAGTTTACACATAAAATGACAAAAATGTTTATAATCTGTTACTGTTGTTGATCATCACCTTCAAGAGACATGATTACCGTATCAAAACATAGTTGTATGCTTAATTTAAAGCTGCATGCCTCCAGATAAGCCAAAATAATTCAAGAAAATCAGGCTTGAGAAAAAATGTATTAGGATTTTAAGAAAAGTTAAACTAAGTAATAGTTTACATGTTATGTACATTTAATGACTGACTTTGCGGTAAAAATTTCGATATTTTGAATGCGTGACTAATGCACAAAGGACAATTTTTGCATAATTTCACTCCTAACTGGTAATAAATGTTGATAGTAAGTTGTGGTTTGCAATGTGTAAATTACTGTCCATTTCATTTTCAAAATTTTGATGAAAATATGCATGTTTCTGGAGGCATGCTGCATAAACAAAATCAACTTTTAGTGAGGTGTTTTGTTCCACACTTAGGAACATAATAAATGAGCCATTTATGTGGACGTCATAATCGTAACATAGCCTTAAATTGTTTACCTGATCTTGTATACTGACAACAAACAAAATTTTGAGCCGCGTCACGACACAACACACATAGTGCGTTTGCGACAAGCTTGGATCCAGACCAGCCTGCGCATCCGCGCAGTCTGATCAGAATCCATGCTGTTCGCTATCAGTTTCTCTACATGTAATAGGGTTGGTAAGCGAACAGCATGGATCCTGATCAGACTGCGCGGATGTGTAGGCTGGTCTGGATCCATGCTGGTAGCAAACCCACTATGTTGGTTTTGTTGTGACACGGCTCAAATAATTGACATGACATGAGTTTTGTTACTGTTCACTTCTCACTTTGCATTTATTATTTGAAATTGTTTGTTCACGTGTTTATGACTTGTAATAATTTTTTATATTGAATTCACCAAAACAATTCAGGTTCAAAACTGCTGACATTTTGTATGAAATCTATAAATTGTATGAAATTTATAAATATGACAAGATATACACCATTTATCACATAAACCGCGGTGCAGAGGTGAAATAAAGCCATTTAATAAGAACTATTTTAAATATGTGACAAATAGAATATAATATTTGTATAGATCCAATACCAATTGAAAAATTAATTGAACTTGTTGGATAAAACAATGCTATGCTCGCCAGAGGCTTTATTCAACTTGTTAAATAAATTTAGTATTAAAGCTACACTCATTCAATATCCTCTATGTATTGTTCTAATTCTTTTAACATGACTGACTCAAGTTTCTATTAATACAAGCAATAAATTTGGCAAGATTTGATAATAAACTGTTATATTGTCTGGTGTTGTAATGTATTTACAGATAAAGCTAACTTGCAATAGTATAATTGTGTTGGGAATGTGCTAACAAGTATGGTATTTTTTTGTTCAACAAAGCAGCTTAATTTATGGCCTTTCTATACCTGATATATTTTGTTATGTTTCGTTTGCATATTTTTCTGATTGCTTCTTATTATACTAAATTGGAATCATTGTATTTTAAAGCAAACAAAAATAAATTTTCTTTCTTTATAAAGTTCAAATATGAGTTTCATAATGTCTTAGAGCATGTTAAATGTGTATCATCAGAAGATAAATTTAAAGATAAATTATTTGTCATAATAGTAGCAAAATGTATACTTTACTAAATGCCAAAAACAGAATAGCAGTAAAAGATGGTTCAAGTAATTAACTAATGGTTTATTTTGGAAACTTTAGCAGGACACTAGAAATTGAAAAACTTTTGAGAAATAAAAATTAAAGCATTTATAAATGGGCCTTTCAATAAGATTTCATTGAGAATTATTTTTTATAGTTGATGCCATTAAAATATTAAGCGGATATTATTTATGATGTTCGAAAATTACATAAAGCAGCAAGTCTGAAGCTTGGGGCTGGGGAAATTATTTATTGCATATATTAGTGGTGGAGCTCTTCTGACTAGGGTGAAAGGAGGGAGGGGTGTGTTACGGCAAAAAGTGAAATTGTTCAATTTTAGACTGATATTAATTAGATAATCTTTTAAGTTAGTGAAGTTCATGGCTCTATGAACTTCAGGAATATTTCATACTTTATAATTTATAATAAAAGGTATTATATATATTGTAATGAAATCCAGATTTTAATATAGAAAACTTTACATGTACTTGTGATTTTCAGTTAATTTTTATCATTTTTACAAAGCAAAAAAAGCCGGACTGATGGGATAAATTTACTACTTACATTATTTTTTTTTGGTTTTGAAGAAAAATTATTTTTGGATTGGGGTGGGGGGATATTTTAAACCCTGTAATATGATATTTTTTAAATGTATAAAAATATGTCTGATTTTTCAAGAACATAAATTAAATCTTGGGTTTTATTTTTATGTTTACTGATAATGCAGTGTATTTTTGTATTTTATTGTTAAAAAAGAGACAAATGTTCCATTCCATTTTTCCTTTAATTTTCCTCTATTCTTATCTCTATTCTTATAAAAGCTGACATTGTACTATTAAGAAAATTAGACTATTAAACACTTTTTAAAAAATAAAATAAAAAAAAAACTTAGATAGAATAGCTAACCATTAACTTAAGCTTTAATTTTTCTAGACTTTTGTGTCTGGAAACAGCTGCATGGTGCTAAATTAATACAATGTAATTTAATTATTAACCAATTAGTAGAGAATAAAAAATCAAATGCAGGGTAATGGTGCTACACTAGTGTTTCAGAAATCCCCCCAAAACAAACTTGAAATGTACCTTTTTTGTGAATGGTAAATGATAAAAGACAGTAAAATGTGGCAGATCATATCTTCATATTGGTCCCTGAAACAAATAACTGACAATACATAATATATGGCCATATTAATTAAAAATGTATTTCTTTTTATAAAAATTCATGTTTTCAATGGTTAATTACGACTTTTATATAAACTATATATACAACTGCTGTCAAGTAATGAAGTAATTTTTTGTTTTATAAAGTCCTTGTAAAGATTCTTGACGTAAATAAATGATAACTTATTTACTTCAAACTTACAATATTATTTATGTGGTGAAGGTAAAGAATTCTAAGGAGACACAGTACGTTTCCACAGATATTTACCATGGATTATGATGTTATATATAGAAGAAAGTTTAGTTTGTTATTTACCAGACAATTCTTTTGTATCATAAACTTAATTATGTGACATAAATATATAACATGTATAATATCAAGTATATAAGATATGATTTTAATGATAAGTACCCCTATTATATAAAACTACAGCGTAAAGCATGCTTGTTTTAGCTGTCACCATGCTGCTCTGTTTTGAACTTGCCATGATTTAACCCTTGATCGGATTAATTTGTGCGGTCATTGTGCAGTTAATTTACCCTTCTTTGAAATTTTAACAGTCAATTAAATTTATAATACAGGATTTCAATAACAAAACCAAAAATTGAGCTATTAATACATAGTATAGAGTCAGACTACACGGATGTGCAGGCTGGCCTGGTTCTACACTGGTGACAAATACTACAGGTAATCACTTTTTGGTTCCACAGATTAAGGGTTAAATCTGGAAATATTTTATAGTAATCTCTATGGGATTACAGCATCTAAATACTTTATACAAGCAGCTAAAAGATCCAGATCAAATGTTAAACAGCTGATAAATATTCATTGAACATTTCTTGTTTTTTGTACAATTCACACTAACTTTCTTGTAAAATAAGGATATTTTTTTTGCTTATATATATACATATACAACAGATATTACATTAGAATATAAGAGTATGATAGGAACATAATTCTAGTGGTCTTGAATTGTTTATAGCATATTTTACAAAATTAAAAATTAACTCCCAGTAAAATACATTTATTTGTACAAGGTGGTAGGCTTATTTTTCGTGTATTTTCAGTTTTGATGACATTTGTTGTGTATGATTAAATGTAATTTGTTAAGGGTGAGAGGAAATTATAAAACAAGTATTGAATCATTAAAAAGAATTTATACAATTACCAGTTTGTTTGGTTATCTCTTACATACCAGTATTATCAAGTTTTTGTTCTTTTTATTTCAATACAGTTCCATTTAAACTTACTTTAAAGGAGGGTGTTCATAAAGAAAATAAGTTTTCAAGCTTTCCAGCCTTCCACACTTTTGAAAAATGAAAACGTTTGAATTTTATACAGAATTATGTCACCCAAAATTTTTGGGAGACATATTGTTTTAGCCTTCGCCGACTGTCTGTCTGTTTGTCGGCATTAAGCTTGTCCACCCTTCACAGATCAATCTACTGGTGAGATTACAACCAAACTTTACAGGAGTGATCAGTACCATCCCTAGTTGTGCACATAATCAGCACTTTCCGCTTCGCTGAACAAAATGGCTGCCACAGATAAAAATAGATAAATCTTGTCTGCCTTTCATGGGTCAAACTACTGGTGGGATTTCAACCAAAGTTTACAGGAGTGATCAGTACCATCCCTAGTTGTGCACATTACTGGCATGTTCCGCTTCGCTGCACAAAATGGCCGCCAGAGCTAAAAATAGAAGAATCTTGTCCGCCCTTCAGAGATCAAACTTCTGGTGGAATTTCAGCCAAACTTTACAGGAGTGATCAGTACCATCCCTAGTTGTGCACATCACAGGCACGTTCCACTTCACTGCACAAAATGGCTGCCAAGCTAAAAATAGAAAAATTTTGTCCGGGCGTCACAGGTTGTAATTTACCAATAGTGGAATTTAATTGGACTTGTCAGTGACCTTCCATTCTTATAACCCCCAAAAAATAAGGAAGTTAAAAGTGAATACCTTCTGTAGTGCTTGTACACAATATCTTACCTAGTTAATGTTTAAATGAGCCGCGTCACGACAAAACCAACGTTATGCGTTTGCGACCAGCATGGATCCAGACATGTCTGCGCATCCTCTCAGTCTGATCAGGATCCATGCTGTTCGCTTACATACTCTATAACAAGTAGAGAAACTGATAGCGAACAGCATGGATCCTGATCAGACTGCTCCGATGCGCAGGCTGGTCTGGATCCATGCTGGTCGCAAACCCATTATGTTGGTTTTGTCATGGCGCGGCTCAAATTACAAAAGGGGGCATGTTTCAGAAAAAGAAAATGTATGTCAAAGTGACCTACATTCATAAACAGGAAAACTTATGTGTAAAGTGGACTCCTTCAACGGATAATTACAGTATGATGTTGCAAGGGAAACTGTCCCACAGTTTCATGTCAGCACAGAATCATGCCATGGTATGTGGAATAGCCTGTTAATTTCAGTAGTCAAGCTAAAAAAGCATGAGAAACAACAGCTTTAATTATGATGTATTTTTCTGCATAAAATAATAAATACTCAAACCGTTTACAATATAACTTTGTTATACTGACAAATTTTAATACTAAGGTGTAAAAATCACCATGACTTAGTTACTTTTTTCAGTAAATACTTTCAAATAATTATTATTTTTTGACATCAAGTAAGATAAGATTTTAAAATATTGTATGAAACTTGTCACAATTTTGAACAATTTTCTGACTCCATTGGTTCATAGAATTCTAATACAACAGAACAACAAAGTCCATCATTTCCTGTCTTATCTCTTGAAAGATTTCTAATTTCAACCAACATAATGTTACCATGGCAACAGTTTTCTGATGTTTTCACATTCAACGTGTCGCCGAAGTTTGACTCGCCATGAAAGAACATTGTTATGGACTTTAGTCCTGCACGCATGTGTTCAATAGAAATATAACCAGACGGATTATCTCTAACAGTTTGAAATGCTGCATTTATCGAGAATTTCAAATACGCGCTAGTTGTTGTATGTGAGTTGTGATCTAAATGTTCAAATTCAACTTTCATGTTGTAATCTTTCGTGTAAGCTCCATCATGTATTGAAGGTTTCTTGAATATTTCTTTAGGTTTCACCAACTTAGAATATTTCTTCTTCCACCAATCAGGAAACATAGCAGGCTGCCTGTTGCTTTTACTAACTAGTACATCATCACATTGGCATGTTATGTAAGGAGTTGATATACTCGGATGTTTAACAGTGTACAATCGTCTTGATGAAGAATTTCCTGCATGTGTCACCTCCGCTTCGATGCTCAATGGAAATTTTGGAGTTTCCGGATCATGGAAGATTCTATTTATATCAACTTTCATTGCCACAAAGAACAGAATGTTTTCTTTCATTAACAGGTGTGTGTCAACAACAGAGTCGCCAGGGTTTCCTGCATGTTTGACAGGGTACTGTGTGAACAATCTAGCTGATACAATCAAATCAACTATGTTCCATGGCTTTATTTGTGTCCCTGCAATAAAAAATAAACATTTTGTAATATCGAGGGTTGATAGCAAAACTGTTGTAAGTCATTCTTTATTTTAAATAAGTTACTGCTGTATTGCAGTCAACCCTCAATATGTGTCTAGAGCCACCTTGATCATAATTCTATTTCATACCTAGGTTTATATAACATTTAGAGTCATAATAAATAAGGATACAATTTACATATAGTACTAATTCTTGGCTTTATTATGTACTTATAAATGAAATAATGATGTAATAAAATTCATATTTTCATTATCCGTATTTTCACTGAAAAAATATATTTTTCATTCTGCAGTTAAACATATTTTCCATATTTTCACTGGTGTCTTGTCAGACTTCTTTCATCTTATTTTAACCAATACACAAAAATTAAGGAGAAGTCTTAAGATTGTAAGGTCAAAAAAGAGAAAAAGTACATATTAAACAGAAAATTCAATTTTGTAACACAATACAAATTGTTTTGTAACCTACTGGACAATATAATTGTTACCTACTGGACAATACAAATGTTTCATACTGGACAATACAAGTGTTACCTACTGGACAATACAAGTCTTACCTACTGGACTATACAAGTGTTACCTACTGGACAATACAAATGTACCTACTGGACAATACAAATGTTACCTACTGGACAATACAAGTGTTACCTACTGGACAATACAAGTGTTACCTACTGGACAATACAAATGTTACCTACTGGACAATACAATTGTTACCTACTGGACAATACAAATGTTACCTACTGGACAATACAAGTGTTACCTACTGGACAATACAATTGTTACCTACTGGACAATACAAGTGTTACCTACTGGACAATACAAGTGTTACCTACTGGACAATACAAGTGTTATCTACTGGACAATACAATTGTTATCTACTGGACAATACAAGTGTTACCCACTGGACAATACAAGTGTTACCTACTGGACAATACAAATGTTACCTACTGGACAATACAAATGTTACCTACTGGACAATACAAGTGTTACCTACTGGACAATACAAGTGTTACCTACTGGACAATACAAGTGTTACCTACTGGACAATACAAGTGTTACCTACTGGACAATACAAGTGTTACCTACTGGACAATACAATTGTTACCTACTGGACAATACAAGTGTTACCTACTGGACAATACAGTGTTACCTACTGGACAATACAATTGTTATCTACTGGACAATACAATCGTTACCTACTGGACAATACAAATGTTACCTACTGGACAATACAAATGTTACCTACTGGAACAATACAAATGTTACCTACTGGACAATACAATTGTTACCTACTGGACAATACAAATGTTTCATACTGGACAATACAATTGTTACCTACTGGACAATACAAGTGTTACCTACTAGACAATACAAGTGTTACCTAGTGGACAATACAAATGTTTCATACTGGACAATACAAGTGTTACCTACTGGACAATACAATTGCTACCTAATGGACAATACATTTCTTACCTACTGGACAATACAAATGTTACCTACTGGACAATACAGTGTTACCTACTGGACAATACAATTGTAACCTACTGGACGATACAAATGTTACCCACTGGATAATACAAATATTTCATACTGGACAATATAATCGTTACCTAGTGGACAATACAAATGTTACCTACTGGACAATACAAGTGTTACCTACTGGACAATACAAGTGTTACCTACTGAACAATAAAATTGTTTCCTACTGGACAATACAAGTGTAACCTACTGGACAATACAATTGTTACATACAGGACAATACAATTGTTTCCTACTGGACAATACAATTGTTACCTACAGGACAATACAATTGTTACCTACTGGACAATACAAGTGTTACCTACTGGACAATAAAATTGTTACCTACAGGACAATACAATTGTTACCTACAGGACAATACAAATGTTACCTACTGGACAATACAATTGTTACCTACAGGACAATACAATTGTTACCTACAGGACAATACAAGTGTTACCTACTGGACAATATAATTGTTACCTACTGGACAATACAATTGTTTCCTACTGGACAATACAATTGTTACATACAGGACAATACAATTGTTTCCTACTGGACAATACAAGTGTTACCTACTGGACAATACAAGTGTTACCTACTGGACAATACAATTGTTTCCTACTGGACAATACAATTGTTACATACTGGACAATACAATTGTTTCCTACTGGACAATACAATTGTTACATACAGGACAATACAATTGTTACCTACTGGACAATACAATTGTTACATACTGGACAATACAAGTGTTACCTACTGGACAATACAATTGTTACCTACTGGACAATACAAGTGTTACCTACAGGACAATACAAGTGTTTCCTACTGGATAATATAATTGTTACCTACTGGACAATACAATTGTTTCCTACTGGACAATACAAGTGTTACCTACAGGACAATACAATTGTTACCTACTGGACAATACAAGTGTTACCTACTGGACAATATAATTGTTACCTACTGGACAATACAATTGTTTCCTACTGGACAATACAAGTGTTACCTACAGGACAATACAATTGTTACCTACTGGACAATACAAGTGTTACCTACTGGACAATACAAGTGTTACCTCCTGGACAATACAATTGTTTCCTACTGGACAATACAATTGTTACATACTGGACAATACAATTGTTTCCTACTGGACAATACAATTGTTACATACAGGACAATACAATTGTTACCTACAGGACAATACAATTGTTTCCTACTGGACAATACAATTGTTACATACTGGACAATACAAGTGTTACCTCCTGGACAATACAATTGTTTCCTACTGGACAATACAATTGTTACATACTGGACAATACAATTGTTTCCTACTGGACAATACAATTGTTACATACAGGACAATACAATTGTTACCTACAGGACAATACAATTGTTACATACAGGACAATACAATTGTTTCCTACTGGACAAACTGTGTTACCTACAGGACAATACAAATGTTACCTACAGGACAATACAAATATTACCTAGTGGACAATACAATTGTTACATACTGGACAATACAATTGTTACCTACAGGACAATACAATTGTTACATACTGGACAATACAATTGTTTCCTACTGGACAATACAAGTGTTACCTACAGGACAATACAAATGTTACCTACAGGACAATACAATTGTTACATACTGAACAATACAAATCTTATCTACTGGACAATACAAGTGTTACCTACAGGACAATACAAATGTTACCTAGTGGACAATACAATTGTTTCCTACTGGACAATACAATTTTTTCCTACTGGACAATACAATTGTTACATACTCGACAATATAATTGTTTCCTACTGGACAATACAAGTGTAACCTACTGGACAATATAATTGTTACCTACTTGACAATACAAATGTTACCTACTGGACAATACAATTGTTACATACTGGACAATACAATTGTTACCTACTGGACAATACAATTGTTACATACTGGACAATACAATTGTTACAAACTGGACAATACAAGTGTAACCTACTGGACAATACAAATGTTACCTACTGGACAATACAAATGTTACCTACTGGACAATACAAGTCTTACCTACTGGACAATACAAGTGTTACCTACTGGACAATACAAATGTTACCTACTAGACAATACAATTGCTACCTACTGGACAATACAAGTGTTACCTACTGGAACAATACAAGTCTTACGTACTGGACAATACAATTGTTACCTACTGGACAATACAAGTCTTACCTACTGGACAATACAAGTGTTACCTACTGGACAATACAAATGTTACCTACTAGACAATACAATTGCTACCTACTGGACAGTACAAGTGTTACCTACTGGAACAATATAAGTCTTACCTATTGGACAATACAATTGTTACCTACTGGACAATACAATTGTTAACTAACTACTGGACAATACAAATGTTACCTACTGGACAATACAATTGCTACCTACTGGAACAATACAAGTGTTACCTACTGGAACAATACAAGTGTTACCTACTGGAACAATACAAATGTTACCTACTGGACAATACAATTGCTACCTACTGGAACAATACAAGTGTTACCTACCGGACAATACAACTGTTACCTACTGGACAATACAATTGTTACAAACTGGACAATACAAGTGTAACCAACTGGACAATACAAATGTTACTTACTGGACAATACAATTGTTACAAACTGGACAAAACAAGTCTTACCTACTTGACAATACAAGTGTTACCTACTGGACAATACAAATGTTACCTACTAGACAATACAATTGCTACCTACTGGACAATACAATTGCTACCTACTGGAACAATACAAGTGTTACCTACTGGAACAATACAAGTGTTACCTACTGGAACAATACAAGTGTTACCTACTGGAACAATGCAACTGTTACCTACTGGACAATACAAGTGTTAACTACTGGACAATACAAATGTTATCTGCTGGACAATATAATTGTTACCTACTGGACAATACAATTGTTACCTACTGGAACAATACAAGTGTTACCTACTGGACAATACAAGTGTAACCTACTGGACAATACAAGTGTTACCTACTGGAACAATACAAGTGTTACCTACTGGACAATACAAGTGTAACCTACTGGACAATACAAGTGTTACCTACTAGACAATACAAGTGTTACCTACTGGACAATACAATTGTTACCTACTGGACAATACAAGTGTTATCTACTGGACAATACAAGTGTTACCTAGTGGACAATACAACTGTTACCTACTGGACAATACAAATGTTACCTACTGGACAATACAAATGTTATCTGCTGGACAATATAATTGTTACCTACTGGACAATACAATTGTTACCTACTGGAACAATACAAGTGTTACCTACTGGACAATACAAGTGTTACCTACTGGACAATACAAGTGTTATCTACTGGACAATACAGTGTTATCTACTGGACAATACAGTGTTATCTACTGGACAATACAGTGTTATCTACTGGACAATACAGTGTTATCTACTGGACAATACAAGTGTTATCTACTGGACAATACAAGTGTTACCTACTAGACAATACAAGTGTTACCTACTGGACAATACAGTGTTATCTACTGGACAATACAGTGTTATCTACTGGACAATACAAGTGTTACCTACTGGACAATACAATTGTTACCTACTGGACAATACAAGTGTTACCTACTGGACAATACAATTGTTACCTACTGGACAATACAAGTGTTACCTACTAGACAATACAAGTGTTATCTGCTGGACAATACAAGTGTTATCTGCTGGACAATACAAGTGTTACCTACTGGACAATACAAGTGGTTACCTATTAGACAATACAAGTGTTATCTGCTGGACAATACAAGTGTTACCTACTGGACAATACAAGTGTTACCTACTGGACAATACAAGTGTTATCTACTGGACAATACAAGTGTTACCTACTGGACAATATAATTGTTACCTACTAGACAATACAATTGTTACCTACAGGACAATACAAGTGTTACCCACTGGACAATACAAGTGGTATCCACTGGACAATACAAGTGTAACCCACTGGAACAATACACGTGTAACCTACATGTACTGGTCAATTGTTACCTACTGGACAATACAATTGTTACCTACTGGACAATACAATTGTTTCCAGTACTGGACAATACAAGTGTTACCCGCTGGACAATACAAGTGTTACCTACTTGACAATACAAGTGTTACCCACTGGACAATACAAGTGGTACCCACTGGACAATACAATTGTTACCTACTGGACAATACAAGTGTTACCTTCTGGACAATACAAGTGTGTTACCCACTGGACAATACAATTGTTACCTACTGGACAATACAAGTGTTACCCACTGGACAATACAAGTGGTACCCACTGGACAATACAAGTGTAACCCACTGGAACAATACACGTGTAACCTATATGTACTGGTCAATTGTTACCTACTGGACAATACAATTGTTAGCCACTGGAACAATACAAGTGTTACCTACTGGACAATATAATTGTAACCTACTGGACAATATAATTGTTACCTACTGGACAATACAATTGTTATCTACTGGACAATACAAGTGTTACCTACTGGACAATATAATTGTAACCTACTGGACAATACAAGTGGTACCCACTGGACAATACAAGTGTTACCTACTAGACAATACAAGTGTTATCTGCTGGACAATACAATTGTTACCTACTGGACAATACAAGTGTTATCTGCTGGACAATACAAGTGTTACTTACTAGACAATACAAGTGTTACCTACTGGACTATACAAGTGTTACCTACTGGACAATACAAGTCTTACCTACTGGAACAATACAATTGTTACCTACTGGACAATATAATTGTTACCTACTGGACAATACAATTGTTACCTACTGGACAATACAAATGTTACCCACTGGACAATACAAGTGGTACCCACTGGACAATATAATTGTTACCTACTGGACAATACAATTGTTACCTACTGGACAATACAAATGTTACCTACTGGACAATACAAGTGTTACCTACTGGACAATACAAGTGTTACCTACTGGACAATACAATTGTTACCTACTGGACAATACAAGTGTTACCTACTGGACAATACAATTGTTACCTACTGGACAATATAATTGTTACCTACTGGACAATACAATTGTTACCTACTAGACAATACAAGTGGTACCCACTGGACAATACAATTGTTACCTACTGGACAATACAAGTGTTATCTACTGGACAATACAATTGTTACAAACTGGACAATACAAGTGTTATCTGCTGGACAATACAAGTGTTACTTACTAGACAATACAAATGTTACCTACTGGACAATACAATTGTTATCTACTGGACTATACAAGTGTTACCTACTGGACAATACAAGTCTTACCTACTGGACAATATAATTGTTACCTACTGGACAATATAATTGTTACCTACTGGACAATACAAGTGTTACCTACTGGACAATACAATTGTTACCAGTACTGGACAATACATAATTGTAACCTACATGTACTGGACAATTGTTACCTAATGGACAATACAATTGTTACCAGTACTGGACAATACATAATTGTAACCTTCATGTACTGGACAATTGTTACCTACTGGACAATACAATTGTTAGCAGTACTAGACAATACATAATTGTAACCTACATGTACTGGTCAATTGTTACCTACTGGACAATACAATTGTTACCAGTACTGGACAATACAATTGTTACCAGTACTGGACAATACAATTGTAACCTACTGGATATTTTAACTTTTTACCTAAGTACTGCACTATACAAAAGTTACCTACTGGACAAGTAAATGTCAAATGCTTGGAAGTGCAGTGTTGGTATGGTCACAACAACCTTTTCTGGACTGTAAAATTTTCTCTCATAATTCATTTGATTGTTTATCCTGAAATGAAAGACTTAAAATTTATTTATTATTAATCAGAGTGTTATCAAATAAATTGTACATAAATCTGTTAATTGATTTATAATATTGTTTACATATTTGCTGTAGCACAACGTCCCTTAATACATAGACACTTGGAGTGTGTCGCTTAAACTTTTTTATGTTCATTTATTAATGAACAATAATTAATAGAAATTCAATCAAGACTTGATTCAAGTGCGTTGATACAATGAAGTAAAGTAAAATACAGTAGAATTTATTTTGATTTAAACACATTTTGGGTTCTATACCTACAATAAAGTGCCTGTGAGTTCTTTATAAACATTTAAAAAATATTTTACAACGATATTACTGCACATGTATTACTTATAAATCTGTACTTCGGTACTTTGATTTAATATATATACTGTATACTGACCTAGTTATCCAATGTTTTTCGACCGATTCTGTTGTCATTTTCCTTTTACAGATGTGTGTACTTTCCTGAGCATGAAAACGAACAGAAATCCAAGCGTAAGATCTTGATACGAAGTTAAGATGTTTAACGAAACGAAACATAATTTTGTTATCTATTTACCAACCATATTTAAAGGGGGGTAAGTTGTTATTCGGAACGCCTCTAAATTACATGTATGGAACGCTAAACTAACACAAATTCAAAGATACGGAGTTCTGCCAACCCTTTTAGCACATCGGGCGTGTTAGTACTGTATGTTATGCATTAGATACATGTACATTTAGGCTTTCACTGGTCAGCAATATGACCGAATCGTGAATTGGACGAATCGTGTGACGTTAGACATTTATAGTTACAATAGTTACTTCCCCTTTAATAAAAAACACCATTTGCAGAGGTAGGCCTAGATCTATATTTTTTTTCATTTAATTAATGTTTGACTTTAATTGAATGTAACTTTATATTGCTGTATGAATAAAGTATGTAATACAGTCAGATGGAAAACTGAGTTAACCATTTAAGGTTACAGTATAGGTCTAAAATAGCTTCATTGCTTCATGCAATGAAGCATGAAGTTTCAACATTAAGTTCAAACTGGAGTTTCCCAAATTTTGGATTATTAAAAATAAAACCGTCTTCGATGCATGTCACGTTATTATAAACCTATAATATCATATAGAGACTAATAGAGACTAAAATATTTATTTATTTTCAAGTAATAACATAGTGCTAAATAAAGATAAAGTGATTCCTTTTTCAAAACAAATGACTTCCTAGCTCAGCATCTTGTTTGTTTACTTCCTGTCTTCAATTATCAATTGTATTTCGATAAAGTCTCATAATTCATAATCAAATTGTAATATTTTTAAGACTTTTGGATTGTGAGAAACAGTGAATGTATATAAACAAGATAAGATCGTGATCCAAGGTCTCTGGACTGACCTATATTCGTACGTGATTTTTCATATTGATTCGTGATTATCAGAGTACTCGTATACTAGCCCAAGCTAGCCACTGCCTTTGGTTAATCTCTCCCTACAAATAGTATACTTGATCCTAATTCAACTAATTGTACTGCGGGACGAGATATTGTGCTATTTTCATGTCTGGGCAATTAATTTATCTCGTCTCTCGAATGTGACATTGTGATGCAACAATTATGGCTGAAAAGCTCCTCACGCCAATGTAAATTTCCACCAGAAAATACGAAGAGATTAATAAACTGAAACATTATTTAATCATTTCTATGCAAAATATAGATGTAAAATTGTAAATTAATACAGTTGTAATAAATTTTTTATCTTGATCACTTTTAGCGGCCATTGAAAATTTCTTTTCATGATGCAGCGCAGCTGTTTTTCAGGATTGCATAAGCACCCTATTGTGTAAATCAGGGACTTTAGTTGACTTCAATGACTTGACATTACAATATATGGGTATATTTCCAGCGGTAGTTAGATTATTACAAAATATTTTTAAGAATAATAAATTATAAATAACACAAAATTTACATAAGCTTACGAAAATTACTTAATTAAAGCTGAATTTATTTTTGATAGATCTATCTGATATCTAAAATGTCATAATAAATGGCCAATTATCATCCATAAAACTATTTAGAAAAAATATATACTATCATTTTATTGTGACAATGTATTATTTAATACACACAAGGTACTTATTCATCATTTCATTTATTTTATGCCTGAAAGAATTATTGGGATTTTTATGTTTATTGTTATACCCCCTGGCATCCGTCCGTCCGTTAGCAATTTGGTTTCCGGAGCATAACTTAAGTTCCATTTGGCCCACAGTATTCAAACTTCATAGGATGATTGCCCATATTGGGTAGAAAACCCCTTTTGATTTTTTGGGTCACAAGGTCAAAGGTCAAGGTCACTATTACCGTAAAACTGAAAATGGTTTCCGCAGCATAACTTAAGTTCCATTTGGCCCACAGTATTCAAACTTCATAGGATGATTGCCCATATTTGGTAGAAGACCTCTTTTTATTTTGGGGTCACAAGGTCAAAGGTCAAGGTCTCTATTAGCTTAATACTGGAAATGGTTTCAGGAGCATAATTTAGGTTCCATTTGGCCCACAGTATTCGAACTTCATAGGATCATTGTCCATATTGGGTAGAAGACCCTTATTTTTTGGGGGGGTCACAAGGTCAAAGATCAAGGTTACTATTAGCTTAATACTGAAAATGGTTTCCGGAGCATAACTTAAGTTCCATTTGGCCCACAGTATTCGAATTTCATAGGATGATTGTCCATATTGGGTAGAAGACCCCTATTGATTTTTGGGGTCACAAGGTCAAAGATCAAGGTTACTATCACCTTCAAACTGGAACCAGTTTTCGCTCAATAACTCTAGCATTAATCAACCTACAGCTGTAAAATTTTATAGGATTAACAGCTTTATACCCCTGACATCTTTTTCGTCCAACCGTTGTAGCTATTTTACTTACAAGATAACAACTTGATGGTGGTGCTTTGAAAACAGCAACTGTATATATACATGAATGTTCTTCAGCTATAAAGGAGGATTGCTTTTTGAAGGAGGTAATACTGTATTTAATTCCCATGTCTTACAAATGCTTCATCCTTACTAAAAGAAAAAGTACTTTCGGGCATATAATGCTCCGCCTAGCGGTGCTCTTGTTTTTTATTAAAAATATGCAAGCTTCTGGCTTTAATAAATTTAGTAATGAATTCAATACTAATGACTTAAATATTCTATTTATCACATATCCAATTTAAGAACAATTTCCAGTCAAATAAGTGAAGATCACTTTTTTATTGACACGCCTATAATGATGCAAATGACATCACATCTAGAAATATATGCACGGCCATGCAATACCCTTTATGGGGATGTGATAAAGATATTTATTTAAATTATTACAATTAATGAATAAAACATGGCACGTCACAAACATTGCTCAGTAAAAGTAAAGGAAACATGGGGCTCCACGACCCATACCCATAGAATTGGGAATTTCAGTGGTGTTTTGTTGAAAATTGGGAAAAAATACATGACTGAAATTTTGCAGTGATTAAATGAATGCAATCAATTACTGTCTAGGATGGCATCTTCAAACATTTAAGCACTAATTCACAGTGAAGAAGCCCTTATTTGCAAAGATTTTAGAATTTTTATTCAATATTTTATTATTTAACTTTCAATTGGGAATTTTTTCCTGTGAATTGGGAAAATGATATACTATTTTCAATTGGGAATATGACTCAATAATGGCTCTAAAATAAACCCCAAAAAATCCCTGGAACCCCACCTCCAACTTTGTTCAAGTCATGATCTTTGCATGCTAACTGGCCTTGCCATGATGAATCTCACATTCCGTTAAAATGGTTTAAAATAAAGGGGATTTTTTTTATTGATGGATGGGAATTTTTTCCAGAAACAGGGGAAAAGTATATACTTTTTGGAAATGGGCATATGGTCGATTTGTTATGTTATGTAAACAGTGTTGAATGGTAATATTACTTTGCATTGTCTAAGTGTAGGACTATCAGATTGTAACAAGTAACACATCATGACTAGATCTCAATTTTATTTATTCATACAACAATTTAGGTAATAAACTTTGGTTTAGCACTAACTAGGCGTAATGCTGTACTATTGAAAATAAAATAAAATAAATAAATAAAAGGAATAAACTGTAATAGCAAATAGCAGGAAATTTAAACAGCTCATAACATGTCTACAACTAAGTCTCTGAGATTATTTATTATATAGCAATATGAGAAATTGCAATTAATGAGACTGAAATTGATTTAATATTTTATTCAAGTGTTACATTATAGGCCTTAATTTTACCATTTCCATACATTCCCACAAATAATCTCTTGGTATGCTGGCAGTATGCAATACTTGTTGGTGTATCTATGCCATGATTTTTATCTAGCAGTATCTCCACTTTGGTAAGGTCATGTGATAATTGATGGACATTGTTTGAGTCACGACCACACACATAAACTGATCCATATTCATCAACAGTAAGTTGTTGAGGAAATTTCAGTTGATCATCTTTGTAGATAGCCTTCACCTTACCATCAAAGGTCAAACAGGTCACAGTGTTCTTATCACAATCAGAGACATATATCATAGTATTGTCAGGACTGACAGTCAAATACCAAGGAATGTTAAACAGATCCTGACCATTGTCATCTTTGTCAAATGATTTCACTATTTTACCTGACATATTTAAAATCTTAATACTATCTGTAAACCAGTATGAAACAACAAGATGGTTATTACTGTAAGCAATACCAAAACAACGAATATTTCCTGGTATATCAGTGATATCTAAAACTTCCATTTCCTCAGAAAATGTAATCAGTCTGATCATTTCTTCTATTGGAAATGTGACAGCAATTTTATAATCTGAAACTTTTGTTATTCCCCAAGGTTGGTTTTTAAATTTTGTTTCTTTGATACATTCTGCATTTGACTTTTCAAGTTTAAATATGACAAGACTACACCTATTATAATCTAATGCAAGAAGTGTATATTTAGATAGCACAAGTAAAGAAGTTATACATGTACTTCCAAACTTGATATCAAAATTAAAGGCAATCTTTTTCTCTACAGCTGATACATGTACTTCATTAAATGAGAAAAGGCTTGTTTGATCATCTAGAGATTGTGTTTTGTGTGGAATGTTAGATCCTTTTAGTTTGTATCGTTGTATGTAGCAATGTTGAATTTTGTTAGTGTTGACTTGAATCTGTTTACACATTTGTTTCGCTAACTTCAGTTTAATAAATAGTTTACAGTTTTTACCTAATTTCCGAGCCTGTTCTATATCAACAGTAAGAGCCTTTAAATTTCCAACCAAATTCGAATGTTCCGACTTAAGTTCTTTAAAGTTTGTGTTTGTTTTAACAACCTCTTCTGTCATATCCGTTTCAGCTGTTCTTACTTTTTTTTCAAAATTTCTTTCCTTTTCAGATAATTTTTGAATTAGTTCTAACCTTTCTTTCTTCAACCTAGCAATGGTATCTTCCATTTTCTTATCAAATTCATCAACTAGATCTTGATAGTGTTGCTTGTAAGTTGCTATCAGTTTGTTGCTTTGCTCTTTACATGCTTCAGTTGCATTTTCCTCTTGTTTCTTAATCACTTCACTTTTAGCATTTAACAGCTTTTCTGTGTCTTTTATATCCTTTGACAATTGATCCATATTTTTGCTAAAGTTTATTAGTTCATCACTTTTTTGTATGTCTGAAGCAAGGGTTGGTAAATGGTTAACATCACTGCAGTTGACATGCTCATTATCCTTGCATTCTTGGCAGGCTTCTTTGCAACACTCAGTGCAGTAAAATTTGATCAGCTGTACAGGGTGAATGGAACATTTCTCAAAATAAAAATCCTGTGGCATATTGTTATTGTCTTGGATTTTGTGAGTTTTAAATTGTCTTTTATGATATCTTTGACAGGTCACACATATATAATCCACACAATCTACACAGAAAGCTACAGCTGTAGCATAACCATCACCATGTCTGTCACATTCCTCACAATACATTTCTGTAACTTCATCAGAGTCTTGTGTTAGTGATCCACTGAAATTAGTAGCCATTTTAGTAAATTCCTAATTTGATATAATTGTCTAAACTTCTATTGGTTGTGTATCCTTTTACTAATAATTCAAGAACATATAATTTGAAATTTTTTATTTAATACTGTTATATACTACTTTTGAAGATTATCTAGCAAGTGTCAGAAATTGGGTACATCAATGGGTCACATCAAGAATGTTTTAACTAGATTGGTTGAGATAACCAGGTAGATCATTGTTGTTGGGGAATCTTTTGCTTGTACATGTAGTAAGATAACTGGTCATATGAAGGATCAAAGTTTTTAGCTCACCTGAGCTTGCTCAGGGTGAGCTTTTAGGATCGATGAATGTCCGTCGTCCGTCGTCCGTCCGGCCGTCCACAATTGCTTGTGAACACTCTAGCGGTCGCATTTTTGCCTCAATCATCATCAAACTTGGTCAGGATGCTTATCTAGTTGAAAGCTCGGATGAGTTCGAACATGGGTCATCTCAGATGAAAAACTAGGTCACAAGAGCTAAAAATAGAAAAACCTTGTGAACACTCTAGAGGTCACATTTTTGACCCAATCTTCATCAAACTTGGTCAGGATGTTTGTCTAGGTGATAGCTCGGATGAGTTCGAACATGAGTCATCTCGGATGAAAAAGTAGGTCACAGGAGCTATAAATAGAAAAAACCTTGTGAACACTCTAGTGGTCACATTTTTGAACCAATCATCATCAAACTTGGTCAGAATGCTTGTCTAGTCAATTGCTTGGATGAGTTCGAACATGGGTCATCTCTGATGAAAAACTAGGTCACAGGAGCTAAAAATAGAAAAACCTTGTGACCACTCTAGTGGTCACATTTTTGACCCAATCATCATCAAACTTTGTCAGGATGCTTGTTTAGATAATAGCTCGGATGAGTTCGAATATGGGTCATCTCGGATGAAAAACTAGGTCACCGGAGCTATAAATAGAAAAACCTTGTTAACACTCTAGCGGTCACATTTTTGCATCAATCATCATCAAACTTGGTCAGGATGCTTATCTAGTTGATAGCTTGGATGAGTTCGAACATGGGTCATCTCGGATGAAAAAGTAGGTCACCGGAGCTAAAAAATAGAAAAACCTTGTTAACACTTTAGCGGTCACATTTTTGCATCAATCATCATCAAACTTGATCAAGATGCTTGTCTAGGTAATAACTCGGATGAGTTCGAACATGGGTCATCTCGGATGAAAAACTAGGTCACAGGAGCTAAAAATAGAAAAACCTTGTTAACACTCTAGTGGTCACAATTTTGACTCAATTGTCATCAAACTTGGTCAGGAAACTTGTCTAGGTCATTGCTGGGAATAAATCGAACATGGGACATCTCGGATGAAAAACTAGGTCACAGGAGCTAAAAATAGAAAAATCTTGTTAACACTCTAGTGGCTACTGTTGTGATCCAAATATTCTGTTAATTGGTCTGAAAGTTTGTTTTGATGATTTCTAAGTCAAGATCGAACATGGGTCATCTTGGATGAAAAACTAGGTCACACCGCCCAAATATGGAAAAACCTTGTTAACATTCTAGTGGTCACATTTTCGACTCCATTATCATCACACTTGGTCAGAATGCTTGTCTAGGTAATTGCTTGGATGAGTTCGAAATCGCATGTGAAACTAGGTCACCGGAGCTAAAAATAGAAAAATCTTGTTAACACTCTAGTTGCTACTGTTTTGATCCAAGTATCCTGGAAATTGGTCTGAAAGTTTGTTTTGATGATTTCTAGGTCAAGTTTGAATATGTGTCACCTGGGTAAAAAACTAGGTCGCACTGCTCAAATATGGATAATCCTTGTTAACACTGTAGTGGTCACATTTTTGACTCACCTGTCATGAGACTTGGTCAGAATGCTTGTCTAGGTAATTGTTTGGATGAGTTTGATAATTCAGGTGAGCGATCTAGGGCCATCATGGCCCTCTTGTTATTTTATTTTGTCATGTGATAGTTTGATAAATCTTTATCTGTTTTGATAATGTTTGAAAGTTAAAATCTGTGCTCTTGTGTTATGAAGTCATACTTATAATGTAAACTTTTAACATTTAGGAAAGAGTTCTACTATTTCTGTAATACTCTAAGAATTCTTTTTTAGCACACCAGAACCGAAGGTTCAGGGTGAGCTATTTGTATCAAAGGGGGATGCTCCGGCGTCCATCGTCCGTCGTCATGCGTCAACAATCATCAAATATTGATCTCTGAAACTTAGTCGCTAAGGCTAAAAATAGAAATACATTTAAACGTCTCCTTTTACAGAACTAATAGATGGATGATCACCAAATTTTGGCTGTTGCATTCTTAGGTAGTCTCTTATCAAGTTTGCTCATTTTAATTTGATTGGCCTCTTTTAGGGACCCCTAAAGGTAAAAATGGAAAAAAAAATTTAATATCATCTCCTACTAAAATAATTGATGGACCATCACCAAACTTTATCTGCAGCATTCTTAGGTAGTCTTTTATCATGTTTACTCATATTAATTTTATTGGCCCCGTTTAAGCTAAAGCTAAACCATAATTGCCCAAGGTCATGGCATTTCTTCCAATTATAGTTTCAAGCTATTGTATGCTCATTTTATACAACTTAGACATATTCAGTAAGAATTTCATAGATTTCAATAAATTTCTATGATGAGAATAGCTTACTCAACCTTGAACAAAGTATATCTTTTATAATGAAAGGGAAGCAACCAATGTTGGAATGGAAAAAAAATCTATTTTTGGTACTGCTAGATAACAAATCAAAGCACAGAAGGCGCTGAATTTGTTTGGGTCTCAGAATGTCAGAAAGGTGATGGTTGTCAGATTATAAACCAATTTGTTTTTTGTATAGTGTCACCAATGTTGTATTGTAGTAAATTGGCTATAAGACTAATTGCAACACTGATGTTATGTTTATTTGGTTTAAACAATTCAAAAAAAGTTGCCTGAACTGGGTTTTGAACGTGTTAACCCCTCAAACACGGGAAGTTATAGGTATAGTTTGAAGAAAACCACGTCATTCTAAATTAGGGTTTGTAACCCTTATTATTTTCGATATATTTTGTTCACGGTAAACCTGTTGTTTAACACTTGCTGTAAATAATCATGGAACATGAAGAATAAAGAATAACACAATATTAGAAATCTTCGACCTATCTGGAACTATTTTTCTTCCCTAAGCCAAAATAAATGCGCCTGTCATTTGACAATCTTTACGTAGTGATCTTCATTTAAATGTTTCAGCGTTAGTTTGCATATAAAGGGATTTAGAAACGGCTTCTATGAGTTTTGACTACTTTCGGTTTTTGCGAATAAGCACATCAGGGTCTTAAATTTCGCTGCCATTATTTGTTTAGTCTGACGGCCAAAACAAATAAAAACTAATGTGTAAATATCTCTCAACTCAAGAATTGGGACCCCATATTGCATCATTATGAGGTCAGTGGTAGGTCAGTAGATAGAATTTTCCCTAGGAAACAAAGTAAGACCTAAAGACAGATTACTTTTGTTTTCTGTACCTTACTAATGTTACAAGGATGAGTTTATATGCTCATTTCTATATTAAATTTGTTAAAAAATATATATTTTTTTCCATTTTTGTTAAACTGTATTCAAACTTGTAGAGAGCACATTTCAATAAATTTTGGGACATTCTGTTGAACCGGAGTTTCATGTGCATAATTGAATTTTGGCATCATTTGAGCTGTTTTTGGTATTTTTGAAACCATTTCACCTACTTTTTAGCTCACCTGTCACAAAGTGACAGGGTGAGCTTTTGTGATCGCTTTTCGTCCGGCGTCCGTCCGTCCGCACTACCGAATAGGGATAGGGGGCCATCTAACTGTAAACAGAACAAAAGAGAACAATAGAGTTCATTCCGTAACAATAGAGTAAGGGGCCATTGGCCCTCTATTAAACAATAGAAAGTAACAAAGGAAATGGCCCCTTATTCCATTTCGGCTGGATGTCCGTCCGTCCGTCGTCCGTCCGTAAACTTTTACTTTAAATGACATCTCCTCATAAACCACTAAGCCAATTTCATCCAAACTTCACCTATCTGGAACTATTTTTCTTCCCTAAGCCAAAATAAATGCGCCTGTCATTTGACAATCTTTACGTAGTGATCTTCATTTAAATGTTTCAGCGTTAGTTTACATATAAAGGGATTTAGAAACCGCTTCTATGAGTTTTGACTACTTTCGGTTTTTGCGAATAAGCACATCAGGGTCTTAAATTTCGCTGCCATTATTTGTTTAGTCTGACGGCCAAAACAAATAAAAATTAATGTGTAAATATCTCTCAACACAAGAATAGGGACCCCATATTGCATCATTATGAGGTCAGTGGTAGGTCAGTAGATAGAATTTTCCCTAGGAAACAAAGTAAGACCTAAAGACAGATTACTTTTGTTTCCTGTACCTTACTAATGTTACAAGGATGAGTTTGTATGCTCATTTCTTTATTAAATTTGTTAAAAAATATATATTTTTTTCCATTTTTGTTAAACTGTATTCAAACTTGTAGAGAGCACATTTCAATAAATTTTGGGACATTCTGTTGAACCGGAGTTTCATGTGCATAATTGAATTTTGGCATCATTTGAGCTGTTTTTGGTATTTTTGAAACCATTTCACCTACTTTTTAGCTCACCTGTCACAAAGTGAGCTTTTGTGATCGCTTTTCGTCCGGCGTCCGTCCGTCCGCACTACCGAATAGGGATGGGATAGGGGGCCATCTAACTGTAAACAGAACATAAGAGAACAATAGAGTTCATTCCGTAACAATAGAGTAAGGGGCCATTGGCCCTCTATTAAACAATTAAGCCAATTTCATCCAAACTTCACAGGAATGTTCCTTTGGTGGTCACCTTTAAAAATTGTTCAAAGAATTTAATTCCATGCAGAACTCTGGTTGCCATGGCAACCGAAAGAAAAAACTTTAAATATCTTCTTTTAGAAAACCCTAAGAGCTAGAGCTTAGATATTTGGCATGAAACATCTTCTAGTGAGTGTCTACCAAGTTTGTTCAAATAAAAGCCCTGGGTTAAAAATTGGCCCCGCCCCAGGGCGTCATTGATTTTCCCTATATGCACATAGTAAAAACTTAAAAATCTTCTTTTAAAGAACTCAAAGAGCTAGAGCTAAGATATTAAGCATGAAACATGTTCTAGTGAGTGTCTACAAAGTTTGTTCAAATAAAAGCCCTGGGGTCAAAATTGGCCCCGCCCCGGGGGGTCATTGATTTTCCTTATATGTGTATAGCAAAAACTTAAAACTGTTAAAACTGTGAAAAAACCCAAATAGCTAGAGTTAACATATTTAGCATGAAACAACTTCTAGTTACTGTCTACAAAGTTTGTTCAAATTAAAGCCCTGGGGTCAAAACTGGCATCGCCCTAGTGGTGTCATTGTTTTTAACTATGTATATGTGTATTAGTAAAAACTTTAAAAAATCTTCTTTGGAAAACCCAATGAGCTCAGAGCTTAGATGTTTAGCATGAAATATCTTCTTATGAGTGTCTACCAAGTTTGTTCAAATAAAAGCCCTTGGACTAAAATTGGCCCTGCCAGGGGGGGGGGGAGGCCTATATACAGGTGAGCGACCTCAGGGCTATCATGGCCCTCTTGTTTATGTACAGACTTGAAATTTGGACAAGGAATGTAATGTCTGATGCGAATTGAATAAAGACATCAACTGACTTATTTTGATACTTAAAACTGCATGCCTCCAGATGAGAAAAACTATTTCGATAAAATCAAACCTGAGAAAAATGTTGTAAGATTTTAGTAAAAGGTATAAAGATTCAAAATTCTAGTAAAAATTTACATGTTATGTGCGATAAATGACCAAATTTGTCAGTATTTATGACTATATTTTTTACTGCGTTACTAACGCTGTAAGGGCTTTTTTTGTGCATATTTTGACCTCTTTTTAGTAATTTAGATAGGTTGGAAGTGCCATTGATTATGTGTAATTTGCATTCTTTTTGTAACTGTATTAAATTATACTGTTAAATATTGTTTTAATTTTCATGAAAATTAGCATGAATCTGGAGGCGTGCTGCTTGAATTATTTGATATTGTTTGACTGATTTCTCGTTTTTTGATGTACCTACTTGGAATTTAGACAAAGGGTTTAATTTCCGATCCTGAATTGAATATTGATATGAACTGGCCTATTTGTGATATCGCTTGACCTTCTTATTTGTCTTTTATGTACAGACTAGAAATTTGGACTAGAAAGTTTTTTGTGTATTTTTTTATGTTAAATTGAATTTTGATATCTGAGCTAACCTACTGTGGATATTTTTGACACCATTTGACCTACTTTCATGTTTTTTTTTTACATATTCAGATTTTCAATTTGGATCAGGGGTGTAAAATTTTTTAATGCTAACTTGAATTTTTATATCAACTGACCTACTTTTGATATTTTTATATGACATGACCTACTTTCCTGACTTTTTTATGAACACACTTGAAATTTTGACCATGGGTGTACAATTTTTAACGGCATATTGAATTTTGATATCAGCTGACCTTCTTTTGATTTTATTGACATAAGTTGACCTACTTGCTTGCTTTTTGAAATACAGACTTGGAATTTGGACCAAGGGTGCAATTTCAGATGTTAAATCAAAGTTTGATAAAATCTGATCTATTTCTGTAATTTTTGATATCATTTTACCTACTTCCTTGTTTTGACATACATACTTGAAAAGAAAAACAATCAGTGTTGTAAAAGTATATAACTAGAGGAGCAGGTTAAAGTTGAGCTGGACTAGCCTATTGGCAAGTTCATATGAAAAATAATTTCTAACACTGAAAAACAGTTGTTTCTGGTGAGCAACTCAGTGCCATCATATCCCTCATATTTCTTCTTTGTGTAACATTATGCCAAGGTGTGTTTGAATAATACAGAACCATATTATTATAAATGCTTCTGTGAAACTTACTAACTGATGTCTTTTAAAAAAAGAAACAAAAAGATTGTGTTATATTGATTCTAATAAATTAATCTCCTATTTACAGTAAAATACAATACATACAAAAGAAAAGAAATTCCTTTCATTATATTATTATCATGATTTAATATCTATTTAGATATCACTAATAATATCTGTCATGTTGCAGTTCGGATTGGATCCGAAAGGGACAGATATTGTGATCGGAACCTGAAACATATGTCATATTTTTTTCTTGCATATTCTACCATATTCCATTATATCATAGGCTTTTAACCTTAATAAAACAATATTCCTAGCCATTTATGTCATAACCCCCGTAAACAGGGTATGAAATGACAACTTCATTCATCACAGTAAAATATATTCCTAAGCATGCAATAGTACAGCAGGCGACTCACCTGGCACTCCCCATGCTAGATGAAATTTCCGGCAATGGTAAAACTAATGGAAACGCCAGTTTGATAATTATGCAAGAATATAATGTCAGGAATGTAAGAGATGTTTATTTTATGTTTATAATATACATCCCTGGTTAATAATACACATCCCTGTATATGCTAAAGTAAATGAAAGTTATATCTTTGAGGGATTTATATCACTTCCAATTTCCAAAGGTCCCATTGAATCAGGTTCCATAATAAAAATGGTTGAACCACTTATTCATTATGACAAACTCAAGTAATCTTGAACACAAAATTTAACCATATGTATCCAAACTTAATTTACTGATTTGCAATATGTAAAAGTCTAAACCAAAGAAAATAAACAACCTTCGATCATAATATCTTATGATTATGTTAGTATCTGTCCCATATTTATGTTAATGTAAATAATATATTTTTATGACCCCCCCCCTGCCAAAGTGGGGGGGAGGTAATATTATTAATTATATTTTGTTATCCTTGTTCATGTGTGTGAATGTTTGCAAAAGTATGTACTTGATGTCTGTAAACAATATGTTGCAAAGTAGACAAGAGTCTCTATGTCAATGTCAAGGTCACAGCAATCCAACTTAGTGTTCTGTAATTTATTCTTTATTTCAGATGGAGTTTGTGTCTGGTCTATAGTTGACTTTTTGTACAGTAGACATAGAAAGTGTTTTCTTTACAATTGTCTATTTATTTGGACAATACAAAAAATATGAATACATTACAACCTCTGCAAAGCAACAATGGGAGACAAAGGTTTTGGTCTAAAGAAATACTGGTTAAGAAAGGTTAAATCTTTTGTGAAGTATAACAAGTTTTTAATATTGAAAAAAAAGTTACTTTTTAGCTTGTTTGTTTTGAATCAAAAGTTGAGCTATTATAATCTTTGTGATGTCATTACATGCAAACAATTTAATGTAGCTCATTATTTAAACATTTCAAAAGTTTAGAATACTTTTATTTACTAATCATGACCAGTGCACTTGCTTTACAAGGGGCATAATTCAGAAAGCTATATTTTTTGGAGTTATACCCCCTTTTAGGTAAAAATGTTTGCTCTTGTTTTTAGCTCACCTGTCACAAAGTGACAGGGTGAGCTTTTGTGATCGCTTTTCGTCCGGCGTCCGTCCGTCCGTCAGTCGTCCGTCGTCCGTTCGTAAACTTTTACTTTAAATGACATCTCCTCATAAACCACTAAGCCAATTTCATCCAAACTTCACAGGAATGTTCCTTTGGTGGTCACCTTTAAAACTTGTTCAAAGGATTTAATTCCATGCAGAACTCTGGTTGCCATGGCAACCAAAAGAAAAAAACTTTAAATATTTTCTTTAAAAAAACCATATGAGCTAGAGCTTAGATATTTGGCATGAAACATCTTCTAGTGAGTGTCTACCAAGTTTGTGCAAATAAAAGCCCTGGGGTCAAAATTGGCCCCGCCCCAGGGGGTCATTGATTTTCCCTATATGCATATAGTAAAAACTTAAAAATCTTCTTTTAAAGAACCAAAAGAGTTAGAGCTAAGATATTTAGCATAAAACATGTTCTAATAAGTGTCTACCAAGGTTGTTCAAATAAAAGCCCTGGGGTCAAAATTGGCCTTGCCCCGGGGGGTCATTGATTTTCACTATATGCATATTGTAAAAAATTAAAAAAACCTTCTTTTAAAGAACTCAAAGAGATATGGCTAAGATATTTAGCATCAAACATTTTCTAATAGGTGTCTACCAAGTTTGTTCAAATAAAAGCCCTGGGGTCAAAATTGGCCCCGCCCCAGGGGGTCATTGATTTTCCCTATATGCATATAGTAAAAACTTAAAAATCTTCTTTTAAAGAACCAAAAGAGCTAGAGCTAAGATATTTAGCATGAAACATGTTCTAATGGGTGTCTACCACGTTTGTTCAAATAAAAGCCCTGGGGTCAAAATTGGCCCCGCCCCGGGGGTCATTGATTTTCCCTATATGCATATAGTAAAAACTTAAAAAATCTTCTTTTAAAGAACTCAAAGAGCTATGGCTAAGATATTGAGCATCAAACATGTTCTAATAGGTGTCTACCAAGTTTGTTCAAATAAAAGCCCTGGGGTCAAAATTGGCCCCGCCCCAGGGGGTCATTGATTTTCCCTATATGCATATAGTAAAAACTTAAAAAATCTTCTTTTAAAGAACCAAAAGAGTTAGAGCTAAGATATTTAGCATAAAACATGTTCTAATAAGTGTCTACCAAGGTTGTTCAAATAAAAGCCCTGGGGTCAAAATTGGCCTTGCCCCGGGGGGTCATTGATTTTCCCTATATGCATATAGTAAAAACTTAAAAAATCTTCTTTTAAAGAACTCAAAGAGCTATGGCTAAGATATTTAGCATCAAACATTTTCTAATAGGTGTCTACCAAGTTTGTTCAAATAAAAGCCCCTGGGTCAAAATTGGCACCGCCCCGGGGGTCATTGATTTTCCTAATATGTGTATAGCAAAAACTTGAAAAATCTTCTTTGAAAAAACCCAAATAGCTAGAGTTAAGATATTAAGCATGAAACAATTTTTAGTGAGTGTCTACACTTTAAGTTTGTTCAAATAAAAGACCTGGGGTCAAAATTGGCCCCGCCCCGGGCGGTCATTGATTTTCTTTATATGTGTATAGCAAAAACTTAAAATCTTCTTTGAAAAAACCCAAATAGCTAGAGTTTAGATATTAAGCAAGAAACATCTTCTAGTAAGTGTCTACAAAGTTTGTTCAAATAAAAGCCCTGGGGTCAAAACAGGCCCGGCCCCAGGGGTGTCATTGTTTTTAACTATATGTGTATAGTAAAAACTTTAAAAAATCTTCTTTTAAAAAGCCCAATGAGCTAGAGCTTAGATGTTTAGCATGAAACATCTTCTTATGGGTGTCTACCAAGTTTGTGCAAATAAAAGCCCTTGGGTTAAATTGGCCCTGCAACGTTGGGGGGGGGGTGGGTGGGGGTTGGTGAGCGATATATATAGGTGAGCGACCTTAGGGCCATCATGAAGACGGTTGCTGTCTGCAGTTATTGTGAATGTATGCTTTCATGCATGAATTAAAATTTATTTTATTCTCAAGGTTAAGAATTTTTTTTTTCTTTTGAATGAATGGCCGTGGCCGAGTAGTTAAGGTCGTTGACTTCAAACTACTTGCCCCTCACCGCTGTGGGTTCGAATCCCGACAGAGACTTTGGATTCTTTCATGTGAGGAAGCTATCCAGCTAGCTTACGGAACGTCGGTGGTTCTACTCAGGTGCCCGTTCGTGCCTGAAATAATGCACGGAAGGGCACCTGAGGTCTTCCTCCACCAGTAAAAGCTGGAACGACGCGATATGACCTATACTGTGTCGATGTGACGTAAAACCCAAAAAAAAAAAAAAACAAACATTTTGAATGAATAATTTGAATGGTAGTCTTTACACAGTTTTCTTGTTGAAATATCTTCCTGTTTACAATACTCTGATTATGCAGATTGAATAAATAACACTTGCAATTTAAAGCGAAAAAAATATATTTCTTTAATATGTTATACATGTATTTGTACAAAGATGTAGGGCATATTGAATAGAAATACTCTGGAACCAGGAAAATGTGAGTTTTTCAAAGCTTATCCCAAGCTATAAATAAACTTTTATAATTACATTTTAGTAAATATTTTGATAGTCCTTGCAACACGTTGACCGCTCATTCAAGAACAGTTGGGTACTCTGAATTAAGCTATCAAAGATTTTTTGTACTCCGGAATTAGATGAGAAAATAAACCCACATTTGCAGAGGTTAACATCTTTTGACCTACCTAATATGGTAGTAATTGTAAGGTGTGTTGTTCAGAAATAAGTGCAACTGATTGACAAATCTATAAGTGCTACGTAAACATATTTTGGTAAAAGTTTAAAGTTTGTACTGAGGGATTAGCTTGGAAAAACCCACATTTGCCGAGTTCCGGATAAAGCAACTAATATTATCAGCAAGATGATTTGCTTATTTGTAAACACATATAAATTATAACTGAGTTGATTGATATTAGTCAGTTCCATCGGAAATTTGTCATATCAATTTAAGATTTAAGCAACTCGAAAATTAACGTTACATAGACTTATATTTGGCTTCATACATAATTGAAGTTCCATTTGGCCCACAGTATTCAAACTTCATAGGATGATTGCCCATATTGGGTAGAAGACCCCTATTGATTTTTGGGTCACAAAGTCAAAGGTCAAGGTCACTATTACCCTAAAACTGAAAATGGTTTCCGCAGCATAACTTAAGTTCCATTTGGTCCACAGTATTCAAACTTCATAGGGTGATTATCATATTGGGTAGAAGACCCCTATTGATTTTTGGGTCACAAGGTCAAAGGTCAAGGTCACTATTACCCTAAAACTGAAAATGGTTTTCGCAGCATAACTTTAGTTCCATTTGGCCCACAGTATTCAAACTTCATAGGATGATTGCCCATATTGGGTAGAAGACCCCTATTTATTTTGGGTTACAAGGTCAAAGATCAAGGTTAATATCACCTTTAAACTTGAAACAGTTTTCGCTCAATAACTCGAGCATTAATCAACCTACAGCTGTAAAATTTTATAGGTTTAAGAGCTTTATACCCCTGACGTCTTTTCGTCCAGCCGTTGTAGCATTTTGACTTACAAGATAACAACTTGATGGTGGTGCTTTGAAAACAGCAACTGTATATATACATGAATGTTCTTCAGCTTTAAAGGAGGATTGCTTTTTGAAGACGGTAATACTGTATTTAATTTCCATGTCTTACAAATGCTTCATCCTTACTAAAAGAAAAAGTACTTTCGGGCATATAAATTGCTCTGCCTAGCGGTGCTCTTGTTTTTTATTGAAAAAATGCAAGCCTCTGGCTTTAATAAATTTAGTTATGAATTTAATACTTATGACTTAAATATTCTATTTATCACATATCCAATTTAAGAACTGTTTCTAGTCCAATCAGGGAAGATCACTTTTTTATTGACACGCTTATAATGATGCAATTGACATCACATCTAGAAATATATGCACGGCCAGGCAATACCCTTTATGGGGATGTGATAAAGATATTTATTTAAATTATTACAATTAATGAACAAAACATGGCACATCTCAAATATTTCTCAGTAAAAGTGAAGGAAACATGGGGCTTCTTTATTACTTCTTCAATTTTTAAACAATTATAATAATTTTGGTATCAAATGAAAGATAACTTCATAAGCTTTTTATGGAATCCATACCAATGATCATTTTATAGAACAGTCCAGGGATTTTTTCCAGGATTTTGGGAACACGTCCCATACCCATGGAATTGGGAATTTCAGAGGTGTTTTGTTAAAAATTGGGAAAAATGCATGACTGAAATTTTGCAGTGATTAAATGGACCCCCATCCAAGCTTTAGTGCAGGATGGAGGGCATTATTTGAATAAAGCCGGAGGCTGAGCATGTACAAAATAGGCTTTCATTTTGAATTTATGGTTTAAGTCGCGTATTCAAAGGTTTAAATTTCCCGCTATATCACGGACATGCGCGTGACTACCGGAAGTAATAACCGGAAGCATGAAACACATGTTTTCACTCATTTAAAGAGTGTTTTTTGTTGCAATAAAGCAACTTAGGGAGGGTTAAAACCTCTCTATATTATATAATAAGACATTAATCACATACTATGATACTATACACAAGGGAGGGTTTGTACATGCTCAGCCTCCGGCTTTATTCAAATAATGCCCTCCATCCTGCACTAAAGCTTGGATGGGGGTCCATTATTTTTCATCAAGCCTTCGGCTTCACATGTACAAAATAGCATCTTTAAAGGCAACAAAAAACAAATATTTTCCAAGTTTAATACCCCAAAAAATATTCTATGTTCCAAAAACAGCATCATTATAAGAAATACCAGATCCTAAGTTTCTACAATAAAACTTATGAAAATTTTTAGATGATTTCCAATCAGCAGTTTTTAAAATCTCCCTTATTGAACATCCTTTATTATAGGCAGCCGAAGCTGATGCTCCTCTATAAGAATGCGCCTTATATTTAGTTATATCAATCCCTGCTAAACTTAACACATTTTTTAACCATCTTGCCAAAGTGCTCGAAGAAACAGCATTAAAGGTAACATATGAAACAAACACCTTTTTACTTTTTCTAATATCAGCAGTCTTTTTAACATAATAAATAAGAGTATGCATTGGACATATATTTTCTTCCAGATAATGCTCTATCCTTATAGAGTAATATTGACCTGTCTTGGATGTCTTCAAAATATCCGTGAATGTGAAAACAACTGCCTGTTGTTGAATAAACATATTGTCTAAAGTTAAAGAACACAAAGTCTGAGCTCTTGGTGCAGTTGCAAGAGCAATCAAGGCTAAGGTTTTAAAAGTTAATAATTTCAAAGATAACCTAGATAATGGCATTAACTTTTGTAAATAACACAAAACAACAGAAACATCCCAAATCATTATATAACGCGGTTTAGCCGGTTTATGTAAAAATACACTTCTCATGAATCTTACAATCATTTTGTTGTCACTACACCATGTATTTCCCAATAAGGACAATGTTTGCATTAACATCGCTTTATGAAGATTTATAACCGAATAAGACATACCAGATTGAAATAAAAAATACAGGTAACTCACGACTACACCTTCAGACGAACAAATTGGACTGGAACATCTAATAGAATTCCACATATACCATCTTTTCCAGGCACTGCTATACTGTTTTCTTGTGCCCTGTGACCAAGATTCTGCGATAAAATCTGCAACATTTGATGAAATTCCCTTACTCTGCAGGCTTTCCCTGATAACACCACTCCAATCATTTTTAATTTTCTTCCTAATGGGTGTAATGTTCCATTGTGCGGCAAAACTAGAAGATCTCTGTGTCTGGGTAGCCTGATAGGAAAATCACAAGGGTTTTCAAGTAGAATAGGGAACCAAGGTTGTGTGAACCAAAAAGGAACAACCATTAGAGCTCTATCAACCTCATCAATAACAATTTTACTTAGTACTTTCCCAATTAAATTAAAAGGAGGAAAGATGTATGGTATCATATCCTTCCATGATAATGAAAAGGCATTAACTGCGTAAGCCCCTGGTTCGGGAAAGCATGAAACAAATTTAGGTAAGTGATTATTAAGTCTAGAAGCAAAAAGGTCTATGCTAGGCATAAATGTGTGTCTACATAATCTTTCAAAAATATCTTTTTTCAATGTCCATTCAGTGGAATCTGAAAAATTTCTAGAATAATAATCAGCACTTTTATTTAATTTACCAGGGACATGTACAGCAGAAATATATATATTTCTTCTTAAACACCATTCCCATAAACATTTTGAAAGGTCATCTAATTCCAAAGAATTCATACCACCAAAATTATTTATGTAAGTTACCACTGAAACAGAATCTGAATGAATCTCAATATGAATATCACAAAATTCATTGTAAAATGCTTGCATGCAGTAAAAAACTGCAAGGAGTTCCAAATAATTAATATGATAACCACATTCCTGATTTTTCCATCTGCCTTGTGTGTGCAAGCCAGAAATCAGGTCTATTCCACCATAACCTTCCATCGACGCATCTGTAAAACACCTTCTGGATACAGAAATAGGCCTGATTCTTTTACCATTTTTATTCTTCACGTTTTTTAACCACCATTGAATTTCTTGAATACTTTTCGTAGACAAACTAACTTTATTATCAAAATTCATATTTTGACCTAAACCTATCAACTTGTCTCTTTCAAGGGCTCTATAATGTAGTGGCCCTTCTAAAATTGCATAAAAAGAACTAACCATCACACCTATAAAAGATGCCAACTGTCTGACCAAAACAACCTCATGTTGCAATAAATAGGATGCTTTCGACATAATTTTCTGTACTTTTTCATCAGTCAAAAATACCTTGAACTGAACTGTTTCAATAATATGACCAAAGAAAATAATTCTCTGACAAGGGATTAGTGCAGACTTTTTCTCATTTATAGTAAATCCTAAAATCTGTAATGTCTTTGTAATAGTAACCGTATTATTCAAACACACATGTGACAACTCATTGAAATTATTAGAATCATCAATATAATAAGAACAGCGTATATCTTGCTGTCTAAACCAAGCAAAAATGGGACGTAATACTTTAGTAAACAAATATGGGGCTATTTTCAAACCAAATGGTAAACATACAAATGAGTATAAAATAGAATTGAATGAAAACTTCAAGTATTTCCAGTGTGAAGGATGTATAGGAATAGAGAAATATGCATCAGATAAATCAACTTTTGTCATAAAATCATTTTGTTTAATCAAATCCAAAACAATAGAAAATGTTTCCTGTTTAAAATGACTATATTGTACGAACTCATTTAAAAATCTCAAGTTTATAACTGGTCGAAATTTATTATTAGGTTTAGGAACAATAAATATTGTTGAAATAAATTGATCAATCTCTGATTCTGATTTAATAATTGCTCCTTTTTTCAACAAATCTTGAATTTCATTATGAACAATTGCTTTTTGATCTGAACAAAAAGGAATTTCATTAGGAATACTTCTTTGAAAAGGATTTTCATTAAAATCTATCTTATACCCCGAAACTGCATTCAAGATCCAAGGATCTGAAGTAAATGTTTTCCATACACTTAAAAAATACTGTGTACGTCCAACTTGACTTACCCTTTCATTTATTCCTGATCGTTTGGGGCACTGGCTGTAGAAGAAGCCAAGGCACCTCTTCTCATACCTCTTCCTCGTCCGCCTAGACCAATCTTGAAAGATTGTCCACGTAACGGATACGGTCTAGTCCTAAAAACAGAACGCTGATTGTATGTAGATGACTGGTAGCCGTAATTACTAAAATTTGAGTTAACAAATCCTCGACCAGAGCGTCTACGCTGGACACCTCTATAATTGCTGTAAGTATAATCCTTACCAATGTACGATAAAGCATCACAACTTTTGACTTCTTTTGAAACATCATCACCAAAAAGTTTGGTTGTTATAGGCATCGAAATACTACACAATGAAGAATACTTCTTCTTCAAATACGGTCTTATAAGATATCTCCTCCTCAAACTGAGGTTGTATTGCACCTGACCCAGAACAGTAAACATGTCAGAGAAGATACATTTTGCCTCATTTTTCATAAGATTTTTCTTTTTCACAAACTCAAGCAACTTAACAACTGGACCTAGGCCCGAAACCACAAGATTTTGTATGTCCACCATAAACTTATCTTGAAAATGGGCTCTTTTGTCTAATGTTTTCCATATTTCCTGGTTAACAATGGGCGGAATGGCCCTGTCACAATTCTTAGGTACTTGGTACTTATTCAAAATAGAGTCTAAGTCACACTGGGCAGTAAATGCCGTGTTAATTAAATTGGCCAAGGACTCATTCACTGGCTCACCCTTCTCTGGTATCTTTAATTTGGGAAGATCCCATGTATCACAATCCGACTCAAGTCTATTATCAGTACAACCATCGTCAAAAGCCGAAGAAAAATCTTTTGACAGATTACGAATCCCTGTATCTTCAATATCAACATCTTGGGCAGCAACCTCCACCCTAAGGTTAGGTTTTAATGCTGCAGGAACAGCAGAATAGTTATCATTCACAGATTCATCATCCATATAATCATAATTATCCTCATTATAGTCATAGTTATCACAATCAGGGAGAAACTGAGGATTCTGTTGAACAACAGGCTGTATACCAAGAAGAGTCCTAAGACCTTCAATATCCTTATTAGATAAGTTTTTCAAATCAAATTTATCCGAGGATAAATTTCTGTCCGATATTTCCGAAGAATTAGTATTCAAAGTTTTACCTGACTGTTTTTTGCCTTTACCACGAGGGGGTTTATTTTCTTTCTCCACCACGACGGATTTTAACCGTTTTTTGTCCGAAGACTTTTTCTCTTTCTTACCGGTAATTTCTTGGTCCGAAAACCCAGAAAAATCTCCCTCCTCACCCGAAGCATGAAGGTCTATCCTATCGAGAAGAGCCTCTTGGGCCATAATAATGCGGTTAAACGTAAAATAACTTTTAAAGTAAGTTAAACTTTCAAGAACACGCGACAACCACAACGCCAAAACAAAAAGTGAAAACATGTGTTTCATGCTTCCGGTTATTACTTCCGGTAGTCACGCGCATGTCCGTGATATAGCGGGAAATTTAAACCTTTGAATACGCGACTTAAACCATAAATTCAAAATGAAATGCTATTTTGTACATGTGAAGCCGAAGGCTTGATGAAAAATAATGGATGCAATCAATTACTGTCTAGGATGGCATCTTCAAACATTTAAGCACTATTACAGTGAAGAAGCCCTTATTTGCATAGATTTTAGAATTTTTATTTAATATTTTTATTATTTAACTTTCAATTGGGAATTTTTTCCTGTGAATTGGGAAAGTAATATACTATTTTCAATTGGGAATATGACCCAATAATGGCTCTAAAATAAACCAAAAAAAATCCCTGGAACCCCACCTCCAACTTTGTTCAAGTCATGATCCTTGCATGCTAACTGGCCTTGCCATGATGGATCTCTCATTCAGTAAAAATGGTTTAAAATAAAGGGGATTTTTTTTACTGATGGATGGGAATTTTTTCCAGAAACAGGGGAAAAGTATATACTTTTTAGAAATGGGCATATGGTCGAATTGTTATGTCATGTAAACAGTGTTGAATGGTAATATTACATTACATTGTCTAAGTGTAGGCTATCAGGTTGTAACAAATAACACATCATGACTAGATCTCAATTTTATTTATTCATACAACAATTTAGGTAATAAATTTTGGTTTTAACACTAACTAGGCGTAATGCTGAACTATTGAAAATAAAATGAAATAAATAAATAAAAGAAAATAAACTGTAATAGCAAATAGCAGGAAATTTAAACATTTATTTTATTGCTGCTTATAACATGTCTATAACTGAGTTTCTGAGATTATATAGCAATATGAGAAATTGGAATTAATGAGACTGAAATTGATTTAATATTTTATTCAAGTGTTACATTATAGGCCTTAATTTTACCATTTCCATACATTCCCACAAATAATCTCTTGGTATGCTGGCAGTATGCAATACTTGTTGGTGTATCTATGCCATGATTTTTATCTAGCAGTATCTTCACTTTGGTAAGGTCATGTGATAATTGATGGATATTGTTTGAGACACCACCACACACATAAACTGATCCATATTCATCAACAGTAAGTTGTTGAGGATATTCCAGTTGATCATCTTTGTAGATGGCCTTCACCTTACCATCAAAGGTCAAACAGGTCACAGTGTGTGTGCGACAATCAGAGACATATATCATAGTATTGTCAGGACTGACAGTCAAGTAACGAGGATAGGCAAACAGATTCTGACCATTGTCATCTTTGTCAAATGATTTCACTATTTTTCCTGACATACTTAAAATCTTAATACTACCTGTAAAATTATATGAAACAACAAGATGGTTATTACTGTAAGCAATACCAAAACAACAACCATTTCCTGGTATATCAGTGATATCTAAAACTTTCATTTCCTCAGAAAATGTAATCAGTCTGATCTTTTCTTTATATGGAAATGTTACAGCAACTTTATAATCTGAAACTTTTGTTATTCCCCAAGGTTGGTTTTTAAATTTTGTTTCTTTGATACATTCTGCATTTGACTTTTTAAGTTTAAATATGACAAGGCTACACCTATTATTATAATCTAATGCAAGAAGTGTATGTTCAGACAGCACAAGTAAAGAAGTAATACTTCCAAACTCATGATTGATATCACAATTAAAGGCAATCTTTTTCTCTACATCTGATACATGTACTTTATTAAATGAGAACAATCTTGTTTGATCCTCTAGAGATTGTGATGTTTGTTGAATGTCAGATTCTTTTAGTTTGTATCGTTGTATGTAGGAATTTTGAATTTGGTCAGAAGTAACTTGAATATGTTTACACATTTGTTTCGCTAACTTCAGTTTTATAAACAGTTCACAGTTTTGACCTAATTTCTGAGCCTGCTCTATATCAACAATAAGAGCTTTCAAATTTCCAACCAAATTCAAATGTTCAAACTTAAGTTCTTTAAAGTTTGTATTTGTCTTAACAACCTCTTGTGTCATATTCGTTTCAGCTGTTCTTACTTTTTTTTCAAAATTTCTTTCCTTTTCAGATAATTTTTGAATTAGTTCTAACCTTTCTTTCTTCAACCTAGCAATGGTCTCTTCCATTTTCTTATCAAATTCATCAACTAGATCTTGATGATGTTGTTTGTAAGTTGCTATCAGTTTGTTGCTTTGCTCTTTACATGCTTCAGTTGCATTTTCCTCTTGTTTCTTAATCACTTCACTTTTAGCATTTAACAACTTTTCTGTGTCTTTTATATCCTTTGACAATTGATCCATATTTTTGCTAAAGTTTATTAGTTCATCACTTTTTTGTATGTCTGAAGCAAGGGTTGGTAAATGGTTAACATCACTGCAGTTGACATGGTCATTATCCTTGCATTCTTGGCAGGCTTCTTTGTTACACTCGGAGCAAAAAAACTTGACCAGCTGTCCAGGATGAGTTGAACATTTCTCAAAATAAAAATCCTGTGGCATACTGTTACTGTCTTGAATTTTGTGAGTTTTAAATTGTCTTTTATGATATCTTTGGCAGGTCACACATATATAATCCACACACTCTACACAGAAAGCTACAGCTGTAGCATAACCATCACCATGTCTGTCACATTCCTCACAATACATTTCTGTAACTTCATCAGAGTCTTGTGTTAGTGATCCACTGAAATTAGAAGCCATTTTAGTAAGTTCCTAATTGACTAAATCTCTGTTGGTTTTGTATCCTTTTATATAATTCA